TGAGGTGGCTCACACCTGTAATTCCACCACTTTGGGAAGCTGACGTGGGTGGATCACTTGAGGACAGGAGTTCAAGACCACCTGGCCAACATAGTGAAACCCCATCTCTACTAAAAATACAAAAATTAGCTGGGCATGGTGGCATGCACCTGTAATCCCAGCTACTTGGGAGACTGAGGCGCAAGAATTGCTTGAACCCTGGAGGTGTGCAGCAAGCTTAGATCACATCACTGCATTCCAGCCTTGGCAACAGAGCAAAAAAAAAAAAAAAAAAAAAAGAAAGAAAAAGAAAAACGTTCTTGGCAAGAATGCTACATGGGTGACTATATATTTCCCATTGCATTATATCAGAAGCCTCATAATATCTGTGTTCTACTATTAGTGATACTAACTTTGATCACTTGAATAAGGGTTATGAAAAGGTTTTCCACTATAAAAGGTTCATTTTTGTTCCTTTTAAACATAGAAAATAGTTGGTAGGTATTTCTTGGGTACCGTAAGACTACATGGTTGTTCCACAACTCTTACCCAATGATTTAAAAACCCATTGACAATCCATGTGGAAATCAATCATTGCACTGCAGGTTACAAAATGGCAATTTCCTATAATTTATTTTACATGGATTAGCTGTCATTCTTGTATAAGAAGAGAAAATATTTACTATTAACTGGAAGGAGTTGTTTACATTAGGGATCCTTCCCCCTGCTTTTTTTCCCTTAGGATGCAAGGATAGCAGAGCCCACATGGACATCTCACAGGACTGCAAGTGCACTGGTGGAGTAAGCAGCCCAGGAGAGGTAGGGAGTGAATAGAGGTCAGGCAGATGAATGTATTTGTAAAGGTAAGGCTAACAGCTATAATTAATAAACTGAGATTTTGCTGACTTATAATGGGGTTTACTTTTGCCTATGTAAAAGTTCTATGTGGGTATGCCTGCTAAGCAGGTGGTCTTCTTCCAGGTTGTGATTTGGGGACACCGGTCCCATCTTGTGGCTCTGGCATTAAGTAGGGCATTTAAGTCTTTTGCAACCAGGCTAAACAGGAAAGAAGGTGGAAATCATTTACCTCTTAACTACCATATACCCCAAATGAAACATATAATTTCCACCTGAACTTCATAGTGGAAGCTAGTAAAATGGCTCCACTTAGATGGGGTGGTGGTGAAAAATATGGTTCCTTAGTTCAGGCACTTCCCAGAAACACCAATTTTCTGTGTAAGGGGATAGTTAGCCATCACTGCCAAATGCATCTGCAAAGACACTGGCTAGAGGATGGACCAGTGTTTGCTGGCTCTTTCTTAGTTTTACTTCAACAGTAGCAAGCAAATTTTATCTTTTATTTGCTCTGAAAAGAATTAGGTGAGATTCCTTTAAAAAATTCTTTATGGACAGTCATGATTGCTATTTAACAATAGAAAAAAAGGAAGGAAAGAAGGAAGGAAGAAAGAAGGAAAGAAAGAAGGAAAAATTGGAAACAAACAGAAAAGAAAACCATAGCAGTAAGTATAGAAGGCATTGAAACAAATCCCCAAGTTATTTCACAAAATGTAATGTTGGTGAAAAAATGCAGGTGGGGAAAAGCAGAAATCATCTAAATTGAGACATATTTATCACATTTCCATACCATTATTTTTCTATAGGAGAGGTATCTAAAGCACTTACATACATGACATTCAGAGTCTGAAATATAAGCTTACCCTTTTAAAAATATTCTCTGGTAATTATCTGAGTGCACTAATTTTATATATATATATTTTAGATGTTCCCAGTCCTGGGACTACTGTTTTTGGCCCTCATGATCACAAACCTGACAAAGTCCATGTTTATTGATTCAAAAAATACCGACTGAATGTCTGTCATCTGTTAGGTATGGTTCTAGGTGTCGAAGATACCCTGGTGAATAAGAATCACAAAGTCACAGCTCTTCATAAATCTGGAGTTTAAAGTCTAGTGGTAAAACAGACAATAAACAAATAGGTGTTCCTCAGACTCAAAAGATTTCAATAATAATAAGCACTGTGAAGGAAAAGTAGAAGTATGCAAGTACATAATGGGGGGCAGTCAGCGAAGAATTGCATGAGGTGATAGCACCTAATCTGGGACTTGAAGAATGACAAGATTTTGGCTAAATAATAGAGGAAAGAGTGTTCTAAGCAGAGGAAAGAGTAAATGTGAAGGACTAGCAATGGGGAAAGGTTTGACAAGTTAGAACATGATAGGAACAAGGAGAAAGCCAGTGTGGGAGACTGAGAGGGACAGTGAGTGATGCCAATTGCAGTGGAGCAGGTGGCAGGGGTCACATCATGCAAGGTTTTGTAGGCCAAGCTACGGGTTTTTAATGTTAGCCTAAAAATGGGGAGGAGCTTCTAGAAGGATGTAAGCATAGATGTCTTATGATTATAATTTCATTTAAAAAAGACTAGGACTAGCCATGTCAGACATTAAAACATTATACAAATATTTTATACAAATATAAAATATACAAATTGTATACATTATACAAACATAAAATATTTTAAAAGTACGGGTAGATGAATTAAATAGTACCTCAATGGACAGAAAAAGTCCAGCAGAAGACTTAGATATATATAGGAAGTCTGTTATATGGTAAATATGACATTTCAAATAAGTGGGGGGAAATGTATTCTCAACATTTTTTGATAACTGAGTAACTCTCTAGAAAAAAATAAGGTTGTATCTATACTTCAGAAATTTAAGAGCACAAAATGAAACCATAAAAGATCAAGAAAAAAAATCTTGGAAAAAGTATACAAAATAATATCAGGAGTGAGGAGAGCCTTTTCTGTGTAGGTTTTATCATGACAATGATGGCTGCTTGGCCTAGGCCCTGAGGAGGTGGCAGTGAATGGGTTCAAGGAATATTTGGGGGATGGAATCAGCAAGAGTAGGTGATCACTGAATGGGAGGAATGAGTGAGGTGGGAAGGAGGGGGAGAGAGTAGGAATACATGAAGGATGACTTAATGACTTCCAAATTTTTAGTCTTGAGGAATTCAGTGGGTGGTAGTGCTGCATATTGAGATGGAGAAGAAGGGAGAAGGGAATGTTGTAGGGATCATAACAATTTCAGCTTTGGATTAAAACATTTTGTGTTTTAAAGAACATTATCAAAAAAGTGAAAAGACAACACAGAAAATATTTGCAAATAATATATTTGATAAGGGATTCATATCTAGAATTTATAAAGAATGCTTACAACTCAATAATAAAAAGACAAACCAGTTAAAAATAGACAAATGATTTGAATAGACGTTACTTCAAAGAAGATATATGAGTAGAAAATAAGCACAATAAGAAAGATGCTTAATAGAATTGGTTATTAGGGAAATGCAAATCAAAACAACAATGAGATACCACCTAACAGCCACCAGGATAATAATAAAAGGAGATAATGACAGTGTCAGCAAGAATGTGGAGAAACTGGAGCCCTCATACATTTCTAGTGGGAATGTAAAATGGTGTCTGCACTCTGGGAAACAGTTGGGCAGTTTCTTAAAATGTTAAATATAGAGCTACCATATGAACCCACAATTTCATTCCTCAGTATCCAAGAGAAATGAAAACATATGGCTACACAAAGACTTATACATTAATGCTATGAACATAGCAGCATTATTCATAATAACTTAAAAGTGAAAACAATTCAAATGTCTATGAATTGACAAAAGAATAAACAAAATGTGATATATCCAAACAATAAAATATTTGCAACAACAAATAAATGCAGTACTGATACAAGCTACAACAGGGATAATCCTCGAAAACATTATGCAAAGTGAAAGAAGGCAGTCCCAAAGACCACATATCATGTATAAAGTTTCCAGAAGAGGCAAGTGTATAGAAAGAGAGAGTAGATTAGCGATTGCCTAGGGCTGGAAGGAGGAGACATGGGAGAGAACAGGGAGTGACTGTGAATGGTTTCAGGGTTTCCTTTTGGGATAATGAAAATGTTGAAAATCAGGCAGTCTGGGCTGGGTGCGGTGGCTCACCACGCCTGTAATCCTAGTACTTTGGGAGGCCGAAGCCGGCGGATCACGAGGGCAGGAGATCGAGGCCATCCTAGCTAATACGGTGAAACCCCATCCCTACTAAAAATACAAAAAATTAGCCGGGCGTGGTGGCAGGCGCTCGTAATCCCATCTATTCGGGAGGCTGAGGCAGGAGAATAGCTTGAACCCGGGAGGCGGAGGTTGCAGTGAGCCGAGATCGCACCACAGCATTCCAGTTTGTATGACAGAGCCAGACTTTGTCAAAAAAAGAAAAAAAAAAAAAATCTGGCAGGCTGGGCGCGGTGGCTCACACCTATAATTCTAGCACTTTAGGGGGCCGAGGAGGGCAGATTATTTGAGGTCAGGAGTTCGAGATCATCCTGGCCAACATGGTGAAACCCATCACTACTAAAAATACAAAAATTTGCGGGCATAATGGCACGTGCCTGTGGTCCCAGCTACTCTGGAGGCAGAGGCACTAGAATCGCTTGAACCCGGGAGGCGGAGGTTGCAGTGAGCGGAGATCGCACCACTGCATTCCAGCCTGGGTGACGGAGCGAGACTCTGCCTCGAAGAAAAAGAAGTTTAAAATCAGATTATAGGGATGATTGCACAACTCGACAGCTGTATTAAAAACTACTGCTTTGTACATTTTAAGTAGCCGAACTTTATGATACGTAAGTTATATATCTCAATAGAACTCTAAAAATCCAGCTTGGGATATATTCGTTTTCCTAAATACGCTTGAGTTCTCTTAACAGTGTTCTGCTGTCCTGGGAGTGAAGGGGTGTCTGAGCAGACTCTAGGGGATGTCAGAAATCTCAGAGTTCGAGAATGAACGGTAGAAGTGCAGGACGGGGAATAAATAATAGATCGTTGTCAGAGAATCATTTTCTCCCTGTAGTCTTCCAAAGCGAGACCACGCCTTCCCTCGTTTCCTAGCAACCAGCTGCTTACCGGGGCACTTCCTCAAGGCTTACTCTTTTTCGTCACTTCCGTTCGGCGACAGGAAGTGAGGTAAGACCGGCTGCTTTCCCGCGAGTTCGGCGTTTGCGGAGGCTGTAGCAGCCGAAGTATAGTGTTTTCCTGGGACTGGCGGTCTCTGCCTTTCTCCTGGGTTTCATATCTCTCCGTCCGGTGGCGCGGCCCTGGAGGAGGGCTCGGAAGGGTCTAGCAATCAGCGCTAGAGGAAGACGAGGCCGGGGAATGCATGGCCCCCGGGCAGGTTAGGGGGCTGGAGAGGGCAAATTACGGAGTACCTGCGGAAACTCTTTAGTGTGGCTTCTCTCTGCTGAGGCCCCGAGAGCTTCCCCAATTCTCCTCCCAGGACCACCGGGGTTCCTGAAGATTGCGACTTTTCTGTGCCCCTCCCCCAACAGCCCATCCCATGCCTATGAAGAAAGACCCTTCGTAGAGATAACTTCCCCCGCTGCTGAGGCGTTTTTCCGTCCGGTCCCCGAAGTAGTCTACTGTGACCTCGTTGTGAGCCTCTGAACGATTTTTGACACTCTCCCGAAGCCTGGGGTAAATGTTTATATGTACTCAAGGTCGTGTGTGCATATGTGTGGCATTTATTTCCTGCAAAACCTGAGTTAGCAGAACCCTGGGCTACGTTTAGCAAGTGTATTTTGGTCTACTTTAACATCTGTGGCAAGGTTTCTTCCTGTTGCAGACCAGGGAAGTTTGCACCTTCTTTTAGGTAGGTGAGAGGGCACACTGGAATTTGGCAGGAAGTGTCCAGGAGTTAGATCTTAGTTTGACCTTTTCAGGATTTCAGTGAACTATTTATATTAGATGATTCCTAGTCAGTTTGAAGGGTTTGTTGTTGTTGTTGTTTTTGACGGAGTCTCGCTCTGTTACCCAGGCTGGAGTGCAGTGGCGGGATCTCCACTCACTGCAACCTCTGCCTCCTGGGTTCAAGCAATTCTCCTGCTTCAGCCTCTTGAGTAGCTGTGATACAGGCATGCGCCACCATGCCGGCTAATTTTTGTATTTTTAGTAGAGACCGGGGTTTAACAATGTTGGCCAGGCTGGTCTCGAACTCGTGACCTCAGGTAATCTGCCCGCCACGGCCTCCCAAAATGCTGGAATTGCAGGCGTGAGCCAATGTGTCTGTTTCTTATTTCCAAGAAACTACAGGTTCTTGGACAAGAACTATGTCATACAGTATTTTTGTGATTCACATAGCCCCAAGCACAGCACAGGACGCATAGTAAAGACTCTTTAATATTTTTAATTTAAATGTCAACATACTGATTCTGACATTTTTGGCTTAATGTTAAAGGGGCCTATTTAAGTATAGTTCAGCTCCTGCAAGGGGCGATGCACAATAGCAGGATCTTTTTAGGTAAAATAACTAGGTCTTTTTAGATAAATGTGTATGAAATTTAGAGGCTGCCCAGAAAGCTAGGTACGACGCTCTTACTAGAAGAGAAATAGGCTGCATCTGTTGCGGAAGAGACCAAATAATGGGATAATGGTGTTTCACTGCTTCTTTGTTTCTTGTCTTTTTTTTTTTTTTTCATTTCTTTTTCTTTTAAATAGGTATTGTATCCTAACCTTACTGACCCAGAGGTGCTTGCCATTATGGGAAATCAACTTGCTGGCATTGCTCCCTCCCAGATCCTTTCTGTGGAGAGTTATTTTTCAGATATTCATGACTTTGAATATGATAAAAGCCTGGGGAGTACTCGGTTTTTTAAAGTTGCTCGAGCCAAGCATCGAGAAGGCCTGGTCGTTGTGAAGGTTTTTGCAATTCAGGATCCCACATTGCCTTTAACTAGCTATAAACAAGAACTGGAGGAACTGAAAATCAGGCTTAATTCTGCACAGAATTGTCTGCCTTTCCAGAAAGCATCAGAAAAAGCATCTGAGAAAGCAGCTATGCTTTTTAGGCAGTATGTGCGAGACAATCTCTATGATCGCATCAGTACCCGTCCATTCTTGAATAACATTGAGAAGCGCTGGATCGCTTTCCAGATCCTGACAGCTGTGGACCAAGCACACAAGTCTGGAGTTCGTCATGGGGACATCAAGACTGAGAATGTGATGGTCACCAGTTGGAATTGGGTTCTTCTAACAGATTTTGCCAGTTTTAAACCCACTTATCTTCCAGAAGACAACCCAGCAGATTTCAATTATTTCTTTGACACATCACGGAGGAGAACTTGCTATATTGCTCCTGAACGGTTTGTTGATGGTGGGATGTTTGCCACTGAGTTAGAGTATATGAGAGATCCTTCAACTCCACTTGTAGACTTAAATAGCAATCAGAGAACCAGAGGCGAGTTGAAGAGAGCAATGGACATCTTTTCAGCAGGTATTTGAGTGGGTCACATTTGCTAAGGGAGCATGTGCTTATCTTTTAACTGTTAAACAGAAAGTAGCTTTAGTCACCAGATACTGAAAAATTAACGTCTTGGTTTGTCCTCAGACAGTATTTCAGTTAGAGGCAGCATTCCTGCATTGGATATGTTTAAGTGCCTAGGACATGCAAACAGCAGTTTATTTACTCAAACATTTAAACATATTTGCATGCCTACTTTTATTTATATGTCAGGCACTGTCCTAAGCGCTAGGGACATTGATGGATAATATATACCCCTATTTTTATAATGCTTCCATTTTAAAGTGACCGCGGATATTGCAAAAGGACATTTCAATACAGTATTTTTTGCTTTGGTGGTGATAAGCACAGGGTGCTGCTATAGGAACACATAAATACTTAAGTTAGTCCTCATAGTGGTGATGAGCCAAGAGGTGGGATCAAGAAAGGCCTCTTTAATAATAGAAGGATGATATTTACATTGAAACCTGAAAGTTGATTGGAAGTTAACTTTGGTAGGGTAGTTACAGGCAGAGGATGTTGTTTATGCCAAGGCTTAAAGACCAGAGCATGATGCACATGATGAAACCTGAAAGTTGATTGGGAGTTAACTTTGGTAGAGTAGTTAGTTTCAGGCAGAGGATGTTGCCTGTGCAAAGGCTTAAAGACCAGAACATCATGCACTAATGTGTTATCTGGAATACAGAATGTGAAGTAAGCAAGGCCCAAATTCGGATCATATCAGAAAGCATCTGACCTGACTGTAGCATGGAGGATAAATTGCAGGGGAGCTACACAGAAGACAGGAAAACAAATTAGGAGAAAACTGCCACAATCCAAGTAAGATGATTGTGACTGGCCTAAGGTGGCAGAGTTGGAGCGAGTGCAGAGAAGTGGTAATGCTTAAGAGATAATTAGTAGATAGAATTGTTAGGATTCTGTCATTGGAAGATTAATCACAGGAACTTCTTCCTGCCCCCCAAATTGAGTGGATGGTGATGCTGGTCCCTGAGACAAGGAGACACAGGAGCAAAAACAGGTTAGGTTGGAAAGATGATGAAGTCTGTTTTAGATATGTTAAGTTTGAAATTTCTGCCAAGTATTCAGGAGAAGATGTACAACACATATTTGACTACATTATTTATTTTTAATTTACTTATTATTTTTTAGAGATAGGATCACACACTGTTGCTCAGAGTGGAGTGCATTGGTGCTGATTTCAGTGTCCAACTCCGATGATCCTCTTGCTTCAGCTTTGTGTGTAGTCGGGACTGCAGGTGTGCACCACCACTCCCAGTTGATTTTTTTTTTTTTTTAACATTTTTGGTAGAGGCTGTATTTTACTATGTTGCCCAGAATGTTTCTGAATGCCTGAGCTCAAGCTGTCATCCCACCTCAACCTTCCAAGAAGTTGGGATTACAGGCATGAACTACTACACCTAGCCCAGCAGTTAGTTATAAAGGTTTGGGCATAGAAATCTGGGATAGAGATGGAGATTTGGGAGTTACCAGGAAAAAGATAGTAATTGTAGCCAAGGAAGTTTGTACAGAAGTGATTCTCAAGCTTTTTTGGATCCACTTAAAGAATTTAATGAAATCAATGGATTCCTTCCCGGTAAAGATGTGCCATGCATTCATGCATATACGTAATTTCACATATACACAGACCACATGAGTCTGAGCTATGGATTTCAAATCATTTAAGAATTATGGGATAGAGAGGAAGGGGAAGTGTGTTAAGGGTGGTACTCTGAGGGACTTCGAAAGAACGCTGGCATCAGTGCCATTTTGGCAAATTTTGTCATGGTTTGGCTTAATTTTTTTCTCCCTTGTAGGTTTACTACAAACACACACACACACACACACACACACACACACACTGAGCCACATTTTAGATTACTTAGGAAAAGTTACATAATTGATGAATAAATCTATTTCATCTAGGGGAATGAATAATGTTATTCAGGATTGCACCTATGTTGGTCTGTTCAGCTCACTAATTTATGTCCCAAGATAATACTGAGAGATGTTTTGATAAGATAGGATTAGCCTCAAGCTTGTAAATACAGTAAAACAAGGTTAGAAATGTAATCCATCAAAGTTCCAGTTTTGTTGATTAGTATATTAAAGTTTCTTGAACCTTTTTTTTTGAGACGGAGTCTCGCTCTGTTGCCCAGGCCGGAGTGCAGTGAGTGGTGTGATCTCGGCTCACTGCAACCTCCACCTCCCGGGTTCAAGCAGTTCTTTGCCTCAGCCCCCTGAGTAGCTGGGATTCCAGGCGCCTGCCACCAAGCCCAGGTAATTTTTTGTATTTTCACCATTTTGGCCAGCCTGGTCTTGAACTCCTAACCTCTTGATCCATCCACCTCACCCTCCCAAAGTGTTGGGATTACAGGTGTGAGCCACCACTCCAGCCCATTTTTATATTTTGAACTCACTACTTGTTAAGTAATCCTTTAGGAATTTCATCACTTTCAAACTTTAGGGGATCATTCCTAGGTTTAAAATTTCAGTGGTTGACAACCTTATGTTTATCCTTTTTTTGTGTGTACATTATAGTTTTGTAAACGTCGACAAAATTCTCACTCAGCATTTATTTTTCCAGACCAAAGAGCCTTAAATTGTTTTGGCTGAAGGTAGGCTTTTACATTCTTTTGAAAAAGAGGTGGGTGGCATCTGTCCGCCTCCCAGTGCTCTATCTTGAATCTTGGCTGTGCCTGGTTAGTGATGTATTATAACCAAGCAGAGTGATATTGAAAAGGTTGGTAGGGCACTACTTGAAGATAAAATGGTCAGGGAAAGCCTCTCTGTTGAAGGTAACATTTGAGCTGAGATTTGAATGATACAGACTCAGTGATGACACAGATGGCAGTTGTTCCACAGGGAAATACCCCTAGTAACATCTTCCAGAATAAAATTGTAAAAGTTTTGAGAAAATATGATTTCACTTCTCCATTAGTTTGTTAGGGCTGCCATAACAAAATACCACAGAGATGGCGGCTGAAACAAGATTTATTTTCTCACAGTTCTGGGGGCTAGAAGTCTAAGATCAAGCTAACAGGGTTGGTTTCTTCTGAGACATCTCTCCTTGGCTTGCAGATAGCCACCTTCTGGCTGTGTCCTCATGGTTTTTTGTTGTTGTTTTTGTTTTTTGAGATGGAGTCTCACTCTTTTGCCCAGACTGGAGGGCAGTGGTGTGGTTTTGGCTCTCTACAACCTTCACCTCCAGGGTTTAAGCGATTCTCCTGCCTAAGCCTCCCGAGTAGCTGGGATTACAGGTGCCGGCCACCATGCCTGGCTAATTTTTGTATTTTTTTTTTTTTGATACGGAGTTTTGCTCTTGTTACCCAGGCTGGAGTGCAATGGCGTGATCTCGGCTCACTGCAACCTCCGCCTCCTGGGTTCAGGCAATTCTCCTGCCTCAGCCTCCTGAGTAGCTGGGATTACAGGCACGCGCCACCGTGCCCAGCTGATTTTTTTGCATTTTTAGTAGAGACGGGGTTTCACCATGTTGACCAGGATGGTCTCGATCTCTTGTGATCCACCCGCCTGGGCCCAAAGTGCTGGGATTACAGGCTTGAGCCACTGCACCCGGCCTAATTTTTGTATTTTTAGTAGAGACAGGGTTTCACCTTGTTGGTCTTGATCTGACCTCAGGCGATTGCCCGCCTCAGCCTCCCAAACTGCTGGGATTATAGGCGTGAGCCACCACATCCAACCTCCTCATGGATTTTCTCTGTAAATGAGAATACATGGTGTCCTTTCTTATGAGGATACCAGTCTTTTTGGATTAAGGCCACACCCTTATGACCTTGTTTAACCTTAATTACCTCTTTAAAGACTTTGCCTACAAATACATTTAACATTCTAAGTTATGTAGATAAAACATATGAACCTGCAGGAGGAGGTAGTGGGTACTTGACACACAATTCAGTCCACAAAAACCTCCATTTAGTTATAAGTAGTTATGTCACTGTGTTTTTTTCTGACTTTATTTGGAAATACTGTAATTTCAAACCTTAAAAGCATATAGACTTTTAAACTTGAAAAAATAAAAATAGAACAAAGGAACATCCTGTACACATTACCGAGATTCATCTTAATATTTTACCCCAGTTGCTCTATCATTGGTGTCATTTCTTCTCCCTCACGTCCCATTTTTTCCCTAATCTTATGAAGTAAGTTACATATATTTTGGCCCTTTACCCTGAGACATTTCATTGTGTATTTTTTAATTTTTTCTTTTTTTTTTTTTTTTAGGCGGAGTTTCATTCTTGTTACCCAGGCTGGATGGAGTGCAATGGCACGATCTCGGCTGACTGCAACCTCCGCCTCCTGGGTTTAGGCAATTCTCCTGCCTCAGCCTCTTGAGTAGCTGGGATTACAGGCACGCAACACCATGCCCAGCTAATTTTGTATTTTTAGTAGAGATGGGGTTTCACCATGTTGACCAGGATGGTCTCGATCTCTTGACCTCGTGATCCACCCGCTTCGGCCTCCCAAAGTGCTGGGATTACAGGCTTGAGCCACCATGCCCGGCCTTTTTTAACCTGGATTTTTTTTTTTTTGAGTCAGGCTTGCTCTGTCACCCAGCCTGGAGTGCAGTGGCATGATCTTGGCTCACTGCAGCCTCCATCTCCTGGGCATCATGTTGTCGCCACCCGAGTAACTGGGATTGCAGGCATGAGCCACCATGCCAGGCTAATTTTTTTGTATTTTTAATAGAGACAGGGGTTTGCCCTGTTGGCCAGGCTGGTCTTAAACTCCTGGCCTCAACTGATTCACTCCTCTTGGCCTCTTTTAAGTATTGGGATTACAATGTGGTATAAGATATTGTACCTACCCGCCTACTGCTTAAACCAGCTATTAAGGAATCCTAATTCTTTTAGTCTGTAGTGAGTGATATTAAAAGCCTTTATCCTGGGCTGGGCACGGTGGCTCACGCCTGTAATCCCAGTACTTTGGGAGGCCGAAGCTGGTGGATCACGAGGTCAAGAGATCGAGACCATCCTGGTTAAGATGGTGAAACCCCGTCTCTACTAAAAATACAAAAAATTAGCTGGGCATGGTGGCGTGTGCCTGTAATCCCAGCTACTCAGGAGGCTGAGGCAGGAGAATTGCCTGAACCCAGGAGGCGGAGGTTGCAGTGAGCCGAGATCGCGCCATTGCACTCCAGCCTGGGTGACGAGAGCGAAACTCCGTCTTAGGGAAAAGAAAAAAAAAAAGCCTCTATCCTAGTGCTTATTGTTGTTAGATTGTCTTTGTCACTTGGCTTTTACTGCTGACAAAGCTAGGCAATATATATAATGTGTATGTGTGTGTGTGTTACACTCTGCTTTTGTTGGATGGAGTGTTCTGTTGATGTCTGTTAGATCCAGTTGGTGTTTTTCCTTACTGTTTTTTCCCCACAGCACCAACTTCTAGATTATATTTTATGTGCATATATTCCTCAACTTAAAATAGAGTTACAGCCCAATAAACCGATTAGAAGTTGAAAATATTGTAAGTAGAAAATGTATTTAATACACCTAACCTATTGAACTTCATAGCTTACCCTACCTTAAACATGCTCAGAAATGTACTTATATTAGTTGGTTAATTTTGATTGTATTTTTCAGGTACTCTGTTTCCTTGTTGCTTATAGTGTTTTTAATAGCTGTTTTTTGAAGTCCTTTATTCTAAAATTTGACACTATATGGACAGAAATTAACAAATTTATTGTTAACTTCCTACTGTGTGTTAGGAGCTTAGTTGCTGGAGATTTTTCAATATATAGAGACAAATAGAAAAATCCCTTCCTCATGTAAACTGCATTCTAATGGGCATGCAGACAAAAAGAAATGTACAGACATTCCCCACTTTGCAATGGTTCAGCTTATGATTTTTTGACTTTACCATGGTACAAAAGTGATACACATTCAGTTGAAATGTATTTGGAGTACCCATACTGTCATTCTGTTTTTCACTTTCAGTTCAGTATTCAGTAAATTGCATGAGATATTCAACACTTTATTATGAAATAGGCTTTGAGTTAGATGTGTTTGTCCAAACGTAGGCTAATGTAAATATTCTTAGCATGTTTAAGGTAGGCTAAACTGGAAAATTCAATAGGTTAAATGTATTAAATTCATTTTCTTATCTTTTTTATTTTTTGAGAGAGTCTGGCTTTGTTGCCCAGGCTGGAGTGCAGTGGCCCAATCTCTGCTTACTGCAAATTCCACCTCCCAGGTTCAAGTGATTCTCCTGTCTCAGCCTTCCAAGTAGCTGCGATTACAGATGTGCACCATCATACCTGGCTAATTTTTGTATTTTTTAGTAGAGATAGGCTTTTACTGTGTTGGCCAGGCTGGTCTTGAACTCCTGTCCTCAAGTTACCTACCTGCCTCAGCCTCCCAAAGTCGTGGGATTACAGGCATGAGCTACTGTGTGATATTTTTAACTTTCCATGAATTTACTGGGATGTAACCCCATTGTAAATTCAGCAGCATCTGTACATCAAATGTAACCTGGAAATTGGTGCTACTGGGGTAAAAACAGTAAGGAAAGGGAAAAGGAATTGTGTCCATTGAGGGCTATGGGAGTAGTTGTGGTGGGCCTGCAATTTTAAACAGGCAACCAAGAAAGGCCTTACTGCTGAGTGACATTTGAACACCTGAAGATCTGAAGGAGGTGGAGGTATAAGCCACATGGATACTTGGGGGAATAGCATTCTAGATAGAGGGACTAGCAAATGCAAAGGCTGTGAGGTGAGGTTATTTGAGAATCTTTTTGTTAAATGCATGTCATGTAATGATTCAGTGAAACTGTGTTGTCCTTTTGGAAATGCGAATATTTAAAAAATTTCTGGTTTGAATATTATATAAGTGAAAAGTGAGAGTTATCTCTCTTCCTCTTCCTAATCTTACAGCTACACTTTTTAGCATTTCATATATTATATTTGTTCACTGCTTTATTTTCTGTCTTCTTTCCTACAATGAAAACTTCATGAGGGCAAGGATTTTATCTGCTTTATGTACTACTTACTAGTGCCTAGGGCACAGTTGTTACTTAATAACTTTTTGTTTAATTATGAATACATTTGTCAGATATGACTTTGTAGTAGTTCCTTATTTATTTAATGTCTGTAAGTCCATATGTAAAAGTTTCTTGTTTTATCACTCTATATGTTAATGTATATATTACAAAAATACATTCATTTTATTTTTATTTTACTTTTTTGAAACAGATTCTCACTCTGTCACCCAGGCTGGAGTGCAAGGGCATGATCTCAGCTCACTGCAGCGTCTACCTCTACCTACCTCTACCTCTTGGGTTTAAGTGATTCTTGTGCCTCAGCCTCCCAAGTAGTTGGGACCACAGGTGTATGCCATTATGCCCTGCTAATTTTTGTATTTTTGGTAGAGACGGGGGTTTCATCATGGTGACCAGGCTGGTCTCGAACTCTTGACCTCAGATGATCTGCTGGCCTTGGCCTCCTAAAGTGCTGGGATTATAGGTGTGAGCCACTGCGTCTGGCCTATACATTCATTTTAAATTATAGAACTGGAAAATTATTTAATTTTTTTAAGAGGGAGGAAAATTATATGGCTTTTTGACTTTATACTTTAGAAACCAGTGTTCGGGCAGTAGACATTTTCCCTGTCAGCTTGGTTGTAGTTGTATGTTGTGTTAAAAATTTTAATTTCATTTACTTTGGAGTTTTGTATTTTGGATTTTATGAACTCTTGGAGATCTCAATCTATATTGCATGATATTTTGCATCTCTTTTCTAACGGAATTATACCTGTTATTTTTCAGGTTGTGTGATAGCTGAGCTTTTTACAGAAGGTGTCCCATTATTTGATCTCTCTCAACTTTTGGCTTATAGAAATGGGCATTTTTTCCCTGAACAAGTGCTAAACAAAATTGAAGATCGCAGCATCAGAGAATTGGTAACTATGCTACAAATATTTGCCATAAAGTTTTTAATAGGATTTTGTTCCCACTGATGCTTTAATCATTTTTCTGGAATGTTGTAAATTTGGAATAAAAGAGTAAAACACTGTAGGCTAATATAAACAGCTTGCTGTTGTTACTTTGTTAGGAAAGAATATACTGTTTTTTCCCTTTTAGGCACGGAGCTCATTTGACTTAAAAAAAATCTATCTATCTTCCCACTATAATCTTCAGCTCTCCATTTTACCGATTTGAAAGGAGGTAAGGTGGTTTCTAGGGTTTGGAGAGGTCATCCTGGATAGAGCTTGCTAGTAAGAAATACAGAAGACAGACATTTAAAATGAAGGGGACAGGAAATGTCAACTTGAATAATATAGCCATACGGGGCCATTGCATATAGAAGCAAATAGTTTTGTATTAATATATGAAGTTGAGGGCACTTCTGGAAAGGCAGCTACAGAAGCACAAATTAGTAGAGCAGAATGGGTGTAAGGAATCCTGTGGGGATCACCTAAGCCACATATCTACATTACTGTTTGAGGGTATCTTTTCTAAGTCAGTTATAGGGTAACTGATGCTTGTGGTGATGACTCTGAGTCATAGAAAAGATTTGTGTATTTAGAATATTATTTAATTAGGGAAATATATAATACATTTTAATTTCCCTCAAATATGGCAAATATTAAAAAATAAGATGCTTCAGTGGAAGCCAATTTAGGCTGTATTTATTGAACAGTGCACTGGATTAGGAGTTGTTGTAGTGTTCTAACTTTGGGTATGGCACATACTTTTTATGTTGCTTTGGCTATGTAACTTCATGTCTTTGGGCATACATTTTCTTAACTGTGAAAGAAATGAATTTGTTTAACCTTTAGGGCCTAGTCCAAACTGAAAACAATTCTCGTTAACATTTTCTTTTAGTACATTTGATTCCCTCATGTTCACTACTAGGCTCTTATTTAAAATATAAACAGAAGGTTCAAACAACTCAGTATATTTTGTGATATTTATTTGCATAATGACTGATACCCTTTGGGTGTCTAGGAGAGATTAAAGTATGTTCTGTACATTGAAAAAAATTTATTTCCTATGATACTAGAAAACAGGATAAATTCAGATTAGGTATATCATTTCTAATGTTTGCAGAATTTAACATCTTTGTGACACTATTTGAAAACTTTAAACCACTGATTCCCTTATTGATTAGATCCTAGAGCTGTACTTAAACCACATATTTTTTTGGATTTGTGGCAATAAGGTTCTGAACCATAACCTGGGATATATAAATGTGATTCCTTCAAGAATTGTATGGGTTTTTGCATGCAAAAATTATGTGTATACATTTTTCGCTGGAAGAGATCCATTGCATTTCTCAGATTCTTAGTGGTGTTTCCTACTCAGAAAAAATTTTAAGAATCTTTGAGTTGTGGACAGCAATATATTAGTCCCTATTTTAATAAATGGGGAATACTGAGCCAGGGTATAACCTCCTCTTTATGTGTCAGGGCCATCTGTAATATATTTGTGTATAATTTCTTACTGCTTTCTAGGATGATAGAGTGACAAATCACTTAGGTTCCGAAAGATCCTTTAAATCATATGTAAATTGCCCATGTAGCTTTCATCTGGTTTACTTTTCTGTTCTCAAATCTATTTTAATTCCTTTTCTTCTTTTGGTACAGGTAACTCAGATGATTCACCGTGAGCCAGATAAACGTTTAGAGGCAGAAGATTACTTAAAGCAGCAGCGTGGCAATGCTTTTCCTGAAATATTTTACACTTTTCTTCAGCCCTACATGGCCCAGTTTGCCAAGGAAACGTTTCTTTCTGCAGATGAGCGTATTCTGGTTATACGGAAGGATTTGGGCAATATTGTTCACAACCTCTGTGGACATGATGTGCCAGAAAAAGCTGAAGGAGAGCCTAAGGAAAATGGGCTGGTTATCTTGGTATCTGTTATAACATCCTGCTTACAGACGCTTAAATACTGTGATTCCAAACTAGCTGCTTTGGAACTTATTCTTCATTTGGCTCCAAGATTAAGTGTTGAAATCCTTTTGGATCGTATTACTCCATATCTTTTGCATTTTAGCAATGACACTGTTCCTAGAGTGAGAGCTGAAGCTTTGAGGACATTGACCAAAGTTCTTGCTCTCGTCAAAGAGGTTCCTCGCAATGATATCAATATTTATCCGGAATATATTCTGCCAGGCATAGCTCACTTGGCCCAAGATGATGCTACTATCGTTAGACTAGCCTATGCTGGTAAGAGTTTATTGTCCAAATATTAGCCACTTAGATATTTTTTAAGTTAATGACTATAATACTGCTTGTTTTCCTGATTTGTTTGAGAATTCCAAGTATGAACTTTGCTCTTGGAACTATTTGTGTACATTTTGATAATATTTCTAGTTGCTATCTTCCTGGGAATCAACATTAGTGTGTTCTCTCACTTTTGAAATGATCAGAATTATCAAGTGATGGCATTTTGTGGTTTTCCTAGGAATATTGTGTTCAACTTGGAATAAGACTAATGTTTACAAGTGTGTGTTTCTGACCTAGTGTCTTTAGGCCTTTATGAAGTTTCTCTGACAATATGGTTATTTAACTGTCAGTTTTGGGATATAACAGTTTATTGCTGTTGAAAAAGATTAATTTTGCTGGATGATTTGATGTTGAAAGAACCTAGCATACTAACTTACTGAAGTTTACGGTTTTCCAGTTACTGTACTGTTGAGGATTTATGACATCTTTGTGATGAGGTGGGTGCACCATACACACCTACCTGTTTTGCTTGTAATTCTCACTCAAAATCAGGTGATACAGATTCATGTTTCTAGCTTCCCAAATTAATTCTGAAAGCTTGTATCTGCATGAGAAATACCACTGAAACATTTATGTAAAATGTTTCTGTAATATAATCTGATAGAAATCAGGGATTCTGTTTTGAAGTCTTTGTAAATAGTACGTGTGTGATGATGATATTGTCATTTTTTTTTTTAAAGAAACTTGCTTAGTTCATTGATTTTACAATTTGCTTATCATTATTTTAATGAAACTTGTGAGAAATGGTCTTTGGACTCTGGGCTTATCTCTAGGCACATCCACAAAGTGATTGGTGATAGCTAGGTGGTTTTTTTTTTTCTCATACATAGATTTTTATTTATGTTTACCTCTGTCTACTATTTATGGTTTTTATAACTCTATAGGTATGAACTTCAGGCCTAGAAATCCAGAATTTCTCTAAGACACATCAAAGTTTATCATTTATAACAATGCATAGTTGTAACTCATTTGGCAAATATAAATAATTGAACCAGATAAAATCACAAGTAAAATAAAAGTTTATCAGTTTTAAAAACAAGCTCCATCTTCTTTACCAGAATTTTATTGTCCTCCTTTTTGGTGAAGTGTATCTTAAATCTGTTTTCAATTGTGCTAAACAGGTCATGTTCTGATGAGGTGCTGTATTAGCATATTGACTCAATTACTAATAGGTAGCAAAGGAAAATAGCTACTGTAGATTGAAAAATCTTCTCTAGGTTGTTGCAAAGGTTAGCTGCAACAACCTTGAGTGTTAGATGTTTTATTACCTTCCTTTTACAGGTGAGGAAATTGGGGTTAGGATAGACTAAATAACATGACCCAAATGTATGTGGTCTAATTCTCATTTCTCAGAGCTCCTGCTCTAGATTGGTTTTGAAGCATTCCTACTTTTCTTTGGTTTTCTGGGTCTTTGTGGTGAGAGTCTGTGATAACCCAGGGTCAGTGCCAGCACCTTGCATTGTCATTTATTCATGGCCCAATATGTGATTGCCCAGGCTGGAATGCAGTGGGGAGATCATAGCTCACTGTAGCCTTGGCTTTCTAGGCTGAAGCCATCCTCCCAATGCAACTGGCAAACAGCTGGGACTATAGTTGTGTACCAAATTAGCCTGGCTAATTTGCAGTCTTTTTAAATAGAGCCAGTCTATTTGACCATGTATGGTTAAATATAACTAAAATACATGTGTCAGTAATTTTAAAAGGTTAAACATGTTTTTCTTTAGAGTATTTTTTAAATATCATAAATGCTGGTACAGATTTGTGTAAAGTGAACTTCCAAGTGTGCTTATGGACTTAAATGGGGAAATAAGTATAGATGTGCTCAGACTTTAGAGGTGCCCAGGAAAGTAAGAGACTTTTCCTAATAAAGATTTGCTCATTAAAGTGGGAATATTCATCTAGAATTTTGGCATATTATCCAGATATGGCCCAGAATTTTTCCATCTTTAGGGTGAGCAGGCATTATAAGGTATTAACATCTTGCTTACTTAGAAGTTAATTTTTATTCTATTCAGAGCATTGTTGAACCTGGCAGGGGTGGGGAGTGGGACCCCAGAATGAAGGGAATAATTGTATTTGACGGACTCAAAGATTTCAGCTGCTGGAAATTTCATTTAGATTTCAGAGATGTTGGAAAGCAAGGAAAAAATAAGGTTATTTTAAGTTTAAGTTAGTTAAGCTTTATGTTCAATGCTATTCACTGCTAAGAAGGAAAAGAAACTGCCTTTGGCTGGTTATGGTCATATGTTAAGAAACACGTATGTAAAGTGGGAGGCAAGGTAGGACATAGACACAAGAATAAGTAAAAGTGGAAGGGAGAAGAAAGTGTAAGTGAAGAGCAGATACAATTGACAGTAAATGTGACAGCAGAAATTAAAAGTTACTTTGCAGTGAGCAGTGAGGAGGATCAGTCTTTGTAGGTCATCAGAAAGAGAAAGGAGAAGATAAAGACAATTGTATAAATGATAGTCTGCCACTTTGGTTCACTAGGAACTTGAGTATCACTTGTAAAGCAGTCTAACAGTGGTTTCTCTTTGAGGCCGTTGGGACTCTTCATTTATGTGCGAAGAAACTGTCTCAGATTGCTTAAATAGCCAAGTTAATAAGTGGAAGATTGAGGTTTGAACCCAGAGCTGTCTGATCCCAAAGCTTAACTTGATCTGTTATTTTAATGGGGATATTTCTTTGTTAGTCTAATAAATATCTCTCACTTTTCAAGATATTGTTTAAATGGTAAGTCTCTGCAGAGAATTAGGCCTCTGTAGATTTGGGTGTTAGGTTATTTTTGTATTATTATGATTATTTTTTAAGCTGTGTTTCATTAATAAAACTGGCAGTTTGGAGATAGTTGTAGATTATGAGCTGGGTTACTAAAATCTGATTAGGTTAAATGCTAAATTGATAAGTTCTGCTTTTCCCATAGGCTTATGATTATTATTTATATGTATAAAGATGGAGCAAAAGTTATAAGTTTTACAGAGAGTTAAGATTGTAATTATAAATTTTCTTTTTATTTTATAGAAAACATAGCTCTGCTGGCAGAAACAGCTCTGAGATTTCTGGAATTAGTACAGTTAAAAAATCTTAATATGGAAAATGACCCCAATAATGAAGAAATAGATGAAGTTACACATCCAAATGGAAATTATGACACAGGTTGTATAATTTTCTCTTCTAGATTTCCTATTATTTAGAATGAATTGGTGATGCTAACTTGTAAAACTATCATTTGTAGTTTTCATGTATATATTAGATAGGAAGAGTCACTGGTGTCTCATTATTCTTTCTATCCTCATATACGGTTACCTTGCTGGAAAATAATCAGCTTGTCACCCTGGATACTAAACCCAATTGTTTGTTAGCCAGAACTGATTTGTGTGAACAGTAAAGCCAGCTGAATCACATAATCCTCAAAAAGAAGAAAAGATTAGAAACATCATAGCTAAAGAAACTAAACTTTTTCTTTTTATGTGAGTATATTCTGAATATCCTCAGCCACAAATTGTTTTTATTTCATACTATTTGTGATTTACATTTCAAAACCATAAAAGAACAGATGTGATGATTTTAAACTTATTGAAGTCAAAGTCCCTGTCTTAGGTTTCTTTGCATAATACGACTCTTTACAGGTTTTTAGTTAATATTTGTTGAGTAAAAGATTTACAAGTAAACTAATAGATGTAAATTTCTCCAGGGTGATTCTAGTTGTGAAAAACGAGAGAAATCTAGTGTTTAGAATGTTGTACTATAAACAACTACAATGGCTGTTACTTTTAGACAACATGTATTATCTAGAGTTGAATTACAGTGGAATAATTTTGAAGTTATAGGAGGATATATCAGGACATCCATCCTTTTTTTTATTTTTTAGGAGATAATCTAAAGTTTTTCTTAAAGTGAGCACATAGTCTTGCATGTCAGACCTTTTTCCTTAACAATAGTTGGACCAAGAGTGGCCCTGTCTTCTGTGTATTCACAGATAATTGTTAAAGATTAGCTCTGCATCAGGCAAATTAGGAGCCTACCCTAAGCACTAGAGCATAGTGGTGAATAAGATAGAAATGATCCCTGCTCTTGAACTTAAGTTTTCGTAAAGGGAAGACAGGCAACTAAGTAAATAAGAAAAAGTGAGGGTAAGGAAGAGATTAGGCCAGAGAAGGAAACAGTGTGCAGATCAAGTAGAGCCTTGACAGAACTTGCAGTGTATTTCCTGGCTTGCTAAAATAAACTGACCTTTCAAAACAGTTTCTACAAGGATTGCTCAGTACCATCACATTATATCCTTATCCTATCTAGTATTTTCAAGACCTTGATTAACTTGGACCTTATTGGGGCAGTGTGATTTCCTTTCTGGTGCTTCTGTATAATTTTCTCCCTGAGCTTATAAATGAAGCTATTTAATTAGTGAGATAGATGCTTGTGGCATCTGCTTGTTCGGATATTCGATATACTTCACTTTATATTTCAGAGCTTTGAATAATGGAAAAAAATTGTGATTAAAGACTTTGGTGGCTTCTGTGATCAATCTTTTGATGAGTAAGAAAAACTGGGACTATCTGTTTGGGGGAAAAATTTATCTTAAATATTTCTTTTTTCTTTTCTTTCTTTTTTTTTTTAGAGCTTCAAGCCTTACATGAAATGGTTCAGCAGAAAGTTGTTACTTTGCTAAGTGACCCTGAAAATATTGTAAAACAAACCTTAATGGAAAATGGAATAACACGGCTATGTGTATTCTTTGGACGTCAGAAAGCCAATGATGTTTTGTTGTCCCACATGATTACTTTCCTAAATGATAAGAATGATTGGCATCTACGTGGAGCATTTTTTGATAGTATAGTTGGTATGTTTTTTGCTTTTAAATTCATCATTTAAGATTTTTAATTATCCTTTCAAAGACTTCCATGCAATCTGAAAGATAGATGATACTACGAAATTTCATTAATAATGAAATGAATTTCTACTATTTCTGTCTTCATGCTGCTTTTGGATGATGTAAGTGTTTTAGCTTGGTAAAATAAAGAGTTGGTAAATCAACCTGTGGTACATCCATATGAAAGAATACCGTGTGGTCATTAAAAAATTATATTTTAACAGAATAATGACCTGGAAAAGTACCATGAAATATGTTAAAGTGACCTAAGTAGTTTGTAAGTCCTCTTTTTTTTTTTGAGACGGAGTTTTGCTCTTGTTACCCAGGCTGGAGTGCAATGGCGCAATCTTGGCTCACTGCAACCTCCGCCTCCTGAGTTCAGGCAATTCTCCTGCCTCAACCTCCTGAGTAGCTGGGCTTATAGGCACGCACCACCATGCCCAGCTAATTTTTTTTTGTATCTTTAGTAGAGACGGGGTTTCACCATGTTGACCAGGATGGTCTCGGTATCTTGACCTCGTGATCCACCCGTCTCGGACACGCAAATTCGTAAATCCTCTTAAAGTATGATTGCTTTTGTGTAAAGGTAACTAATAGAAATCATATGTGTTTATAAACATGTTAATAAAAGTGAACATGAATCAGAAAATAGCAGTTAAAATATAGTTGAAAATCTAGTTGGAAAGAATTAAGTTAAAGGCTTTGTGTAAACTTCAAATTTGTGAAAATTTAAGCAGCATTTTTTTGCTGTTCTTTGATTTTACAATTCTTGATTTTTAGATTTATCTAAAGTCAGGCATCTTGTCTTTTATGTGTATAACTTCTATTACATTTAGTTTCAGAATTAGAAGTAAATGAAGTGGACAATATTTTGCATGAATTAAGTCATGTGTGATACAGGATTTAGTATTTTTCTCTTTTGAATAATAACTGACCCTCTTTTCCCTGAAGGTACTGATCTTTTCAGTTTAAGATATAGCCAATTATGAAATATTATATGCTAAATTCATATTATGATTATCCACTATCCTTTATTATATAATTTCCCACCTGGTTGTAACAGTTTATCTGTTAACCCAAAAGGTTTAAAGACTATTCTGCACATTGGAAAGCTTGGCTGGTACCCAAACTTTCTCGTGAGACAGCAGGAAGCTGTAAGGCTTTAAGTTTTGGTTCCCAATAATATAGGAAAGTAACTGTTACAAGGTTTGCTGTTTGATTTTTTTTTTTTTTTTTTTAAATAAAATGCAAGAAACTTACAAGGCAACAGGATTGATATTTCTGCAAATGCTATCATATGTTTTGCAGGAAACGGTACTTTCTACTTTGAAAAACTTTCAAATTCCCTGTTTTTCTTGCTTTATTATTATTGGAAATTACTGTACTTGTTTTCTTCAGACATCTTTTGTTTTTTATTTTTGCATTAGTTTATAGCTGCATCTTAGTCTTCCATCTGGGACTTCATCTAACTCTGTCCCTGAATATAGTATTCTTCGATTCTTACGTCTTTTTTGTCTTCCTTGTTTTCGTCTTCTTTCAAATATTATTATTTTTATTTCTTTTCTTGGGAAAAGTTGGTTCTTAAAACTTCCCCTATTGGTCAATTCCTGTGTTCGTTGAAACATATATTAGTTCTTTTTTAATTTAAAAACAATTTTTTATTAATAAAAGCAATACATGCTTATATTACTTTTGGAAATTAAACTTTGAAAAATTGGGAAAATACGGAAACCAAGAAGAAAATAAATGACCTTTAATCCTACAACCCATGTACAATCTCTGTTAAAGCTTTGATGTTTTTTCCCATAGCTCATCCTCTTCTTTTTCCATTCCATTTATCCCTTTTTGTCATATGCTGATGGTTAAAAGCAGGCATTGTGAAGCTAAACTGTTGGGCTTAAGTGTTTGTTTTATCACTAGTTGTGGTTCTTGGAAAATCAATTTTTTTATGCTTTAGTTTACCTATCTGTAAAATGGAGATAATAATAGTGCCTGTCTTACTTGTTGTTGGGGGATAGAATGAATTAATATATGTAATAGTGCCTGGCATAAGTGCTATACATATATTACTTCCTAATTTTATTTTATTATTTCTTAAAACTTTTTTCTAATAATATACTTTAAGCATTTTCTCATGTCATTAAAAATTTATTTGAAACCATAATTTATTATTCCATTGTATAGTTTTGTCAAAATTTATTTAACCCTTCTTTTGGATATTTTCATTTTTTTCTGTCATATATAGATAATTTATGTATTTGGTATAAGGTATGTATGTAAGTAGTTGTTTCTGCTTATTTTCCTAAACAATTTTAATTACTCGGTTAAAGAATGTGAATTTATTTTTAAAATTCATGACACATTTATAAGCTATTCAAAAAGATTATATCGTTTTGCATTCCCATCTCCATTAATGCTGCATACCCATTCAGTGTGAAATAGGCTTTACTTAATCTTTGCCTGTTGGAAGGGTAAAATGATAACTTGTTTTGCTATATAGTTCTTAATTTAGCTATCAAGTTGAAAAACTTTCTCATGTTGATTATTCATATTTCTAATACTATGAATTTTTAAATTCGTAATTTTGGCTTATTTTATCCTGATATTCTTTTCTTGTTCTTTGCGAGCCTTTATATACACATTAAGAACATTAATTTTTTAAATCCATTTTAAGTGCACATTTCTCCGTTCTTTAACTTGATTTTTAAATCTTTTTTGTAGACCATTTTTCTTGTCAGTTTCTTTGATCTTTTTGCTTTGTGATTTTTTTTTAACTTTTGTATATAAAATCTTTTCCATTTCAGAATTAGATTTATAATCTGTTGTGTGCTTGCCTTCTTTTTCATGCTTTATTTTTCACACTTAACTGTTTAATGGATGTTTATTTATGGTCTGTGGTGTAAGGTGAAATCTAAATTTTCTTTTTCTTTTCAGATATGTAACCAATTTTCTCAACATAATTTATTAAGCGTTTTTGTTTTTTTCTTACTGGTTTGTGAAACTGTTCTGTTTTTTTTTTTTTTTTTAAAACGGAGTCTTGCTCTGTCCTGTAGGCTGCAGGACAGTGGCGCCACCTTGGCTTGCTGCAACCTCCGCCTCCTGGGTTCAAGCCATTTTTCTGCCTTAACTTCTCTAGTAGCTGGGATTATAGGTGCACACCACCATGACCAGCTAATTTTTGTATTTTTAGTAGAGACAGGGTTTCACCATATTGGCCAGGCTGGTCTTGAACTCCTGACCTCATGATCTGCCTGCCTCAGCCTCCCAGAGTGTTGGGATTACAGGCATAAGCCACCATGCCCAGCTGAAACTCTTTTATCATCTGTTGCATGCCTCTGTCTGTTAAGGTCAGGTTCCTGGGTATCTAGTCTAGCCCATTGATTTTTCTATTCTTGTACTCGTATTCATAGCCATATTCAGTTTACAATATTACATATTTTTAATCAACTTTATCTGATAGGGTAAGTTTCCAGATGTCATTCTTTATTTTCAAAATATTTGTAGCTATTTTAGCTCATTGTACTTTCAGTTTGTAAGGTTCCTAAATATAATCTACTGGAATTTTAGATAGTATTTTTCCTTTTATCAAACAATTATGACTTTTTTTAATCATAAAGGAAATAGGCTTTTAGAAATCATATGAAATTTAATCAAAATGTAAAATGTATGAAAAAGAATAGTTGAAATTTCCAGAGGCAACTACTCAGCTTTGTGCTTTTGTTTTATAGTGTTTTTAGGTGATTATTACCATACCAGTAGATAATATATTTTTTTAAGTAAATACTATTTTCATGTTACTATGTTCAGAATAACAACTTTGGACTTTTATCTCTTGAATTTTTTTCTATGCCAGGTGAAGATTTAACTTATATCATGCCTTGATCTTTCTTCTCTTCTCAGTTTTTGAGATGTTGACTACTATTTTCAGTGCTTTAGTTTTTAGCTTGTTGTTTTAATAACGTTGAGTAATTAAGTCTGTTTTGTATTGCTTGACCTCTGATTTGCACTACAATATTAGTGCCCCTTTTGTTTCTCTTGAACCTGTTTCTCTTCTTACTGTTTGTTTAGTTGGGAATGGAGAACTCTCAACAATTTTATTGTTATAGGTAATAATATATTCTGTTCTATAATCATATAAAGTATTTTATGTATAGAATGATTATGAAGCTTCAAAACAAAATGTACATGATTATGAATGTGTAAATTTTATTAACTGTGGAGCCAAGTAGTATTCTGTAATTATATTTACTTCATCACAATCTCAGTTCAGTGACTGCCCCCCTCACCAGTTGAGTATGTTTATAGCAAAGTCAGTGGATTCTACTTCACTTCCTCTTTTAGTTACTAAATACATTACTTTAATTTTATATTTGGACTATGATTTTCTTGAATAATTTTTGTTCTGGAATTTTAGATTTCTTTGTTTTCCTTTTAGAAAGAAAAGTAATATATTGTCATCATATCTATAATAATAGCTAGTTTGTTTCTTATTAATTTTATTTGTTGCTTGGAATCTATTCCATTTTCTTCTTGATGATATTTCTTGATATTTATTAGTTTTTAATTCTAATCTGGGCTGACTTATTTCTGGGTCTTTGCCAGCTTTTTTTTGCCCTTGAATTCTTAGGTTGAAACTTTCCTAGACAGGGTTGCATGGGAGGCAGACCTTTAATAGTCCTTACATATTTTGAAATGACTTATTTATTTTTTTTATTTAATTGGTAGTTTGACTGAATATAGAATTCTTTTCATAACTTTGAATGCCTTGCTCACCTGTGGCTTGTCTTCTAACCTCCATTGTTGCTGAAGTTTATGTAATTCCAGTCTGATTCTTCCTTTTTAGGAGACCTGTGTTTTTATTTTTGTAAGTTTTTAGAGTCTTAGCATCTCTGTGGTATCCGAGAATTTCTTCATGGTTTGCTTTGCTGTGGGTCTTTTTAACTTTATCATTGCTGGGTAGGAAGTCCAGTGTTCTTTCCTAGGTAATTGATCAATATGTTTAGCTTTTGCTTAATTTTATTGCTTTACTTACTAATATATGTACTTTTAGGTATTGAATAATCACATAATGTTGCTTTTCATTTCCAGGTGTTGCTGCCTATGTTGGCTGGCAAAGCTCCTCAATTCTTAAGCCCCTGCTGCAACAAGGCCTTAGTGATGCTGAGGAATTTGTTATTGTGAAAGCTCTTTATGCCCTTACTTGTATGTGCCAGTTAGGATTGCTGCAAAAACCCCATGTTTACGAATTTGCCAGTGATATTGGTAAGTTCCTGTTTCTCAAAATTAGAATGAGAAGATTAGAATGTGTGAAGAACCTTAAAAAATTTCTAGGTAATGTAGAGTGAGAATTGCAACTTCATTGTTCCTACTGTTGATTGATTGGGGTTCCTACTATTGATTGGTGGGTGTGCATGTATGTATGTGCATGTGTGCATGCTTATATGAATGTGAGAGACAGACAAGCTGACTCATTGGCTCCTCCAGCCCCAGTGGGAAGTACTGCTTTGTTTTCATCTGTTGTTAAGTCTGTGTTACCTTTAACGAGAAGCAAGACTTTGGGTTTTTGTTGTTGTTGTTTGTTTTTTGAGACAGAGTCTCACTCTTGTCACCCAGGCTGAAGTACAGTGGTGCAATCTTGGCTCACTGCAACTTCTGCCTCTCTCAGGCCATTCTCCTACCTCAGCCTCCCGAATAGCTGGAATTACAGGCACCCACCACCATGCCTGGCTAATTTTTTTTTATATATATTTTTAGTGGAGATGAGGTTTCACCATGTTGGCCAGGCTAGTCTTGATCTCCTGACCTCCAACTGCCTTGGCCTCCTAAAGTGCTAGGATTACAGGCGTGAGCCACTGTGCCTGGCTCTGGCTAGTTTTTAAATTCTCTTTTGTGGAACATGGGTCTTGCTAAGTCACCCAATATGGTCTCAAACTCTGGACTCAAGTGATTCTTTTCCCTTGACCTCCCGAAGTGCTGGGGTTACAGGCATGAGCCACCACACCTAGTCTTACTTTTAATTTTTTGAGGAATTGCCATACTGTTTTTCATAATGGTTGTACAAATTTATATTCCCACAGTTCCCTTTTCTCCATATTCTTTTCTTTTTTAAAAAATTTTTTTCCTCTTTTTTTTTAACCTCTTGTTTAGCCAAGGTCATTTTTTTTTTTTCTCTTTTGCTCCACATTCTTGCCAGCACGTTTCCTTTTGTTTTTTTTTTTGATAATACCCATCCTGGCAGGTGTGTAGTGATATCTTACTGTGAGTTTGATTTGCATTTTCCTCATGATTAGTGACATTGAGCATTTTTTAATATACCTGTTGGCTATTTGTCTTCTTCTGAGAAATGTTTGTTAAGGCCTTTGCCCATTTTTTAGTTGGGTTGTTTTCTTGGTAATAAGTTGTTTGAATTCCTTACATATTATAGCTGTTATTCCCTTACCAGATATATGATTTGTAGATATTTTCTTCCTTTCTATAGCTTGTCCCTTCACTCTGCTGATTGTTTTATTTGCTATACAGAAGCTTTTTAGTTTGATTTGGTCCCATTTGTCTATTTTTGCTTTTGTTTCCATGCTTTTGAGGTTATATCCAAAACACCATTGTTCAGACCAATGCCAAGAGGCTTTTCCCCTGTGCCACCTTCTCATAATTTTATAGTTTCAGTTATTAAATGTTCAATGCATTTTGAATTCATTTTTGCATATTGGGTTAGGTAGGATCCAGTGTCATTCTTCTGCGTGTAGTTATCCAGTCTTCCTACCACCATTATTGAAGAGACTTTTCCCAATGTTTTTGGCATCTTTGTTCAAGATTAATTGCCTGTAAAGTCATGAATTTATTTCTGGGCTCCCTGTTCTTTGGTCTGTATGTCTGTTTTTGTGTCAATACTGAAGTATTTTAATTACTATAGATTTGTAGTAAATTTTGAAACTCTGAAGTGTGATGCCTCTAGCTTTGTTCTTTTTGCTCAGGATTGGTTTGGTTTTTTTGAGACTTTGTGATTACATAAAAATTTTAGGGTTTATTTTTCTTTGAAAAATGTCATGGGATTTTTGATAGGGATTGCGTTGACTGTAGATTGCTTTGGGAAGTACAGCTATTTTGACAATATCAATTCTCTCAATCTATAAACGTGAGATTTTTTCACGTGAGATTTATTTGTATCTTTAATTCTTTAATCAATATTTATAGTTTTTAATATCTAAATCTTTCACCCTCTTGGTTAAATTTATTTCTAAGCATTTTGTTCTTTTATGTGCTATTGTAAATGGGATCATTTTCTTGTTTTTAAAAAAATTTTTGATATTTCATTTCTAGTATATAGAAACCACTGGCTTTCGTATGTTAATTTTGTATCTTGCAACTTTCCTGAATTGTGGGTAACACCCCCCATGGGCACCGAGGAAGGAGAACTGTCCAGACCCTAGGAACAATTAGTGCCTGAAGAATATCTTAGTTTATAGTGTTACTACTCAGCTGTTTCCTTTATATAATCCTTTATATGTAATCATATATTAGTTTGTAGAATTAGTGCCTGAAGTATAACTTACTGCTTACATATATCTAGCTTATATAATCATACTTAATACTTATATCTAATGTAGTTCTATATAATCTTTCTATATAATCATATAGGTATTGTAGTTGGAGCTGTACTAACACATTTAGTGCTGATTTATATATCCTTCTATATAACCATATAGTAGTTTGTAGTAGGAGGAATGCCTAGAGCAGTCACAGAACAGAAGCAGTACATGGGAAAGCAGCCAGACCAGGACAAAGACCCAGGCGGTGGCGTCCCTGCCTGAAAGGGCATATGCTGTATGGCAGGCTTGGAGCAAGAGCCTCTCCTCCTGATAAAGGAGTTATAGTACCTTGCATCAAGTTCCTATGGAAAGTAGGCCTCAAGCCTGAGATCCTGGAAATAATCGAGGGTAAAGAACCCCTCTGGTATGACCAGTCACAGCGGCTGTACACCCTGTCAGTCTTTTCTTGCTTCTGTGCTAGCTCAAATCATCCTCCCATAAATGTCTTAAGAGAAGAGCACAGTCTTTCAGCTCCCAGTGCATTGGCTTACAGTATCCTTCTTAGAAATCCTTTGAGTCTCTAGCCCCCAGATAAGAAGTGTTGTGTACGACGCCTGTTGCACACAGCCCACGTCCTTGTCTTGGTGACCTAATAGGGGTGGACCCCTTTTCTGTACATGACCCTCTGCTACTGTGCACAGCACAGCCCCCTACTGCGCATGGCCCACCTCTCTGCCCAGGTGACATAATGTGGTGGCTCCCTCACTTGTGACTCACGTGATTATGTATGCCCTGTTACTCAGCCTGTAGATGATGACCTCACTTACGACCCTGCCCCCTGCTTATACCTAATAAATACAAGTGCTTCTGGATATCTGGGGCTGTTGCCAATCTCCACTTACAGGTGGCATGGCCTCCTGAGTCCAACTGCTCTTCACCAGTTCTTCAGTGTCCTATATCTTTACTTCTCAGATCCTGCAACTCAGCACAGCATAAGGGACACCCCATGACTCTGTGGGGCCCAACACCCCTACACTGAATTTGTTCATTAGTTCTAATGAATTTTTGGTGGCATCATAAGGGTTTTCTACATGTAAGATCATGTCATCTGCAAATAGAGACAGTTTAACTTACTCCTTTCCAATTTGGATACCTTTTATTTCTTTTTCTTGCCTAATTGTCTTGCTCTACCAAGGACATCCAGTACTGTGTTGGACAGAAGTGGCAAAAATGGGCATCCTTGTCTTTGAGTATGTGTTAACTGTGGGCTTGTTATATATGGCCCTTATAGTACTCTTTTTTTTTTTGAGACGGAGTCTTGCTCTGTCGTCCAGGCCGGAGTGCAATGGTGCAATCTTGGCTCACTGCAACATCTGCCTCCCGGGTTCAAGTGGTTCTCCTGCCTCAGCCTTCAAGTAGTTGGGATTACAGGTGCCAACCACCATTCCTGGCTAATTTTTGTATTTTTAGTAGAGATGGGGTTTCACCGTGTTGGCCAGGCTGGTCTCAAACTCCTGACCTAGTGATCCTCCTGCCTTGGCCTCCCAAAGTGTTGGGATTACAGGCATGAGCCACTGCACCCAGCTCTAATACTCTATATATATTTTGGTCCTCCAATGTTGGGTGCATAAGTATTTTTATTGATATATCCTCTTCGATGAATTAACCCCTTTATTATTATGTAGGGACCCTCTTTGTTCCTTGTGGCAGTTTTTACTTAAATTCTGTTTTATCTGATACAATATAGCCACCCCTGCTCTTTTTTTGGTTACTGTTTTCATGGAATATCTTTTTCCATTCTTTCACTTTCAGCTTACATCTGTCCTAAAAGCCAAAGTGAATTTCTTTTTGATAGCATATAGTGGGCTCTTGTTTTTTAAATTTATTCAGTCTTTGGTTGGATAATGTTATCAGTTTATATTTAAAGCAATTATTTATTGTTAAGGGTTTAAAACTCATTTTGTCAGTTGTTTCTTTGATTGTTTTATAATTCCTTTATCCCTTTCTTCCTCTCTTGGTGTCTCCCTTTGTGATTTGATTTTTTTGTAGTGCTTTGGTTTGATTCCTTTATTTTTTATGTGTGTTTTGTACTTTTTTTGTGTGTGGTTACCATGAGGCTTACTAAGGTATCTCACAGTCATAACAGTGTATTTTAAGTTGATAACAACTTTGACCTGATACAAAAACTCTACATTTTAACTTCTCTTCCTCTTGTATGTTCTGTTATTGATGTCACAGTTTACCTCTCATATATCGTGTATCTATTAACAAATTATTGTGGCTATAGTTATTTAAAATACTTCTGTCTTTTAACTTTATTCTGAAGTTAAAAACTTATTTATACACCATTATTACAGTTTCAGAGTATTCTGAAAAAACTATTTTCTCACCTTTACATTGAGCTGTATACTTTCATACGTTTTTATGGTGTTATTTGATGTTCTATCATTTCAACTTGAAGAACTCCCTTGAGCTTTTTGTATAAGGCAGGTCTAGGGTGATGACCTTCTACAGCTTTTGTTTGGGAAAGTCTTGATCTCGTCTTCATTTTGCAAGGACTGCTTTTCTTGGTATGGTATTCTTTGTTGAAGTTTTTTTATTTTAGTAGCATTTTAACATGTTAGTATTTAGCAACGTGTTTTAATAACATTTCTGCTGAGAAAACCACTGATTATCATATGAGGGTTCCCTTGTTTATTGAGTTACTTTTGTCTTGCTGTCTTCAAAATTCTCTCTGTCTTTGAGAAGTTTATTATAATGTTTTTTGGTGAAGATGTGTTTATATTTAATATGTTTGGAATTCCTTGGGTTTCATGGATCTGAGTGTTCATTTCCTTCTCCAGATTTGGGAAGTTTTCTGTCATTGTTTCTTTAAATAAGCTTTAATTCCGCTGATTGGGTAATTTCAAATGACCTGTTTTTGAGCTCACTTACTCTTTCTTTTGCCCAATAAAGTTTGCTGTGGAAGCTCTCTATGGATTTTTTCAGTGCATTTGTTTTCTTCTGATCCAGAATTTCTGTTTGGTTCCTTTTTATGGTTTCTTTGTCATTGTGAACTTTTAATTTTCTTTGTGTATGGTTTTCCTAATTTTGCTTAGTTGTCTGTCTGTTCGATTGTACCTCACTGTACTTGCTTAAGATTAAATTTTTTTTTTTTTTTTAAAGACAGGGTCTCTCTCTCACCCAGGCTGGAATGCAGTGGTGTGATCATTGTTCACTGCAGCCTCAAACTTTCTGGGCTCAAGCAGTCCTCTCATCTTAGCCTCCCAAGTAGCTGGGACTGCAGACATTTATTACCATATCTGGCTATTTTTTTTTTTTTTTTTTGTTAGAGATGGTGTCTTGCTTTGTTACCCATACTGGTCTCAAATTGACTTCAAGTAATTCTCCCTTTTCTGACTCCCAAAGTGCTGGGATTACAGGCGTGAGCCATTGACTGTGTCCGTCCTTGAGATAATTATTTCAAATTCTTTGCTAGGCAGTTTGTAGCTCTCCATTTCTTTAGGGTCTGTTACTGGTTCTTTATTATGTTTTTTTTGGTGGGCTTATGTTTCCCTGATTATTCATGATCTTGTGACCCTGCATTGGTATCCATGTATTTAAGAATTAGACACCTCTTCCAGTCTTTACGAGTCAGTCTGTCCAGAGATTTTGGGTGTTTGTTGGTAACATTGCTGCTGGAGTCCTTGGGCAGGTTGGCCTGGTTTTGGGGTCAGTAGGTTGATTGGCCTGGCACCTGCTTCCACAGGGAGGGGCTGGCCTGATGTTTGGATTCACAGAGTTAGGCCTGGAGCTTGATCCATTGTGGTAGGCCTTGATCATGGGTCCACTGCGGCTATCTTGGTGCTGGGTTCTCTGGTGTGGGCCTGTTGAGTTGTCCATGGGGTTGAGATTAGAGCCTAAGTCTATCACATAGACCTGAAGCCTGTGTCTGTGGGTGCTGGCATGAATCTTGGGTACATGGGGACTGACTTGAACCTGAATCTGTGGGAGCCTGCTTGGTGCTGGGTTGGGCCTAGGGTTATGGTCTCTGGGGATGCGCCAGGTCCTAAGTCTGTAGGTGCTGGCTTGGTGCCAGGATTTATCAGGGCAGGCCTAGAGCCTGAGTCCATCAGCATGGTTCTGGGCCCTTTTTCCATGGAGGCTTGGCCTGGAGCCTGAGTCAGCAGGGACAATCCTGGAGACTGGGCCTACAGTTACCAGCTAGGTGCCAGGGCCTACTAGGGTGGGTCTGGACCCTAGATCCCCTCAAGCCTGGGTCCTCTGGGGTCATCTAGGCACTAGGGCTGGCCTGGAGGAGGCCATCAGCTGTGGGGATGGGTCCATGGTGGTTGGCCTGGAACCTGGGACTGCAGGGGAGGGCATGGTTTGGGGTTTTACTAGGTTTCATTGGTTTGGGCCAGGTGTTACAGTTCACAGCAAAGCTGGGGGCTCATTTGTCCCTTCCCCAACTTGGAAGGTATTGCTTTGTATTGGCTGCCTGGGCTTTGGGGAATGTTGACATGGGTAATGTGAAACTGCCCTTCCTGTCCTCTTGACTGGGGCCTTTCTCATTTTTGTGCTATCCCCAGGTGCTATAATCTCTCACTTGGACTCCTTTGTAATGGTATTTTCATGCATTGATAGTTGTTAAAATAGATTTTTTCCGCAAGAGGATGAACACTAAAATGTCCTATTCTACCATATTGTTTTCAGTTTCTAGTGTAGTGACTCTTAAAGAGAATGGTGGTGGTGGTTTTGATGGTGATTATGATTTCTTTGGTAGTCATTTTAAAAACGACTCTTCCCACTTAGCTATTATGAATATTTTCCCCCACACTTGTCTTCTGATAAGTTGAATGTGTTGGATAAAGAAAAGAATGAGTATGCTATTTCATAGGCAGTTCTTTCGATTCAGACTTCTTGTTTTGAGTATTTGAGATGTTTTGCATCAGTCAGCTACTTACTGATATAATAATGCTGAAGAACAGTCAACCACAGAATCTTAGTAAATCCATCAGTAAGTTTCTTATCATGTACCTGTGGGTTGTGTGGGTGGCCCTGCTTCAGGCTCCACATCTCCAGGTTGTCTCTGATGACTGATTCATCTGTCTCATTCTGGGGCCCTTGTTGTAGGGGTAGTGGTTACCCACATGATGTTCATGGTGTTGACAGAAGCAAGAGAAGGCAAACCCTTCAAATTCCTGTTTGTGTTACCTTGCCTAATATTAATTGGCCAAAGCAAGTGATAAAAAAAAAAGCAAGGGGACAGAGAAGTATCCTTTGTATACCACAAGTGTATACTAAGTGTACAAGTATGGTTGTATAATACAGGGAAGTTAAGAATTGGGATAAATAATTCAGTATAATACATTTCTCAACTCCTGTCAAACCATTACGGGTTTAGCTACTTTCTGGAGGTTTACCAGCATTTTTCCAGTCCTCTTTTTCCCTCTTACCACAGGGAAAATACCCAGTGTCCCTCCTTGGATGGATCAGAGGTTGCAGGATATTTATGAAATAAACAAAATCTTCTTCATTTATAATTAGAAGAATTAGAAATGCGAGACCTTGGGAGAGAGATATTTGAATGCATCTTTTTTACTTCCCCTTTTAATATAAGTATTCGCCTATGATGATATTCCTATTTCTCTGTTAATGTGTATTTATTATAAAATAAATATCCTTTGAATGCTGATGTGTTTGCATTCTCAGAGCTAACATAATTTTTCTTGCCTTTAAAAGTTTGGATTTTTTTTCTAAGTCAGGTTAGTCTGATGTCGATTAGTTGAAATCATTGATTTTATGTTTAATACATAAAATTGTTAAAAGGTATGAAAAGACATTTAATTTTCTGGTTTAATCTTATATTTTAAACCTTTTAAGAATTGGTATCATGTTTTCTGCCCTTTTGGTTTCCATTCATTAATGTCTTATGAAAATAATTGTAAATTATGTATTAGATTTGATCAAACCCTCATATTAAAAAGAATATCAGATAGCCCAGATTGTTCCCTTAATCTTTATGCTGTATCTTAGAGAAGTAACTTCTCCCCAGTTTCTCTCCTCCTTGGGTGATAGAGGTGATATGTCTTTGAGCTTCTTGGGGGTAGCAAGTGGGGGAATAATACATAGTTAGCTATATGTTGTTGGGACTTGCTATGTCTCCAACAGTTTTTAATCCAGTGTTATAAATGAGTAGGTACCTACACAATTTTAGTTCTGACTAAAAAATATAAATTTTAAGTCCTCAGCTATGAGGTAACTGTCTTCATTCTTTTGTGGTACTGCTGTGATAATTTATTTTAAGAGAATATTATAATAACAGTGTGTCCACTTGGTTGAGTTTATTTCTAAGGGTAATTGAGTATGTGAAGGCTCCTGATAGTAACATTGTGGCAAAATCTTTTTGTCAGTTATGTTTTAAGGTGAAAATTTGTTTATCTTGATAGTATGAAATAACTTATTTGAACCATACCTTTTCTTTTCCTGTTTAGCCCCCTTCCTGTGTCATCCCAATTTATGGATACGCTATGGTGCTGTGGGATTTATCACAGTGGTAGCTCATCGAATAAGTACAGCTGATGTCTACTGTAAACTGATGCCTTATCTTGACCCATACATTACCCAACCAATAATACAGGTACACATGTTCCAACTTGGAGTCAGTCTTCTCTCCAAACTGTGCCTCTTTAAAAAATATGTAGAGTCCTATTTTTCTTAACATTTAAAAATATTTACATTTAGCTATAGCATTTTCATACTCCTTTCAAGCTAATTAATGTTAATGGGCTAAGCACCTTTGAAGGTGAAAAAAGTTCAAGAGAATATTGTTTTACATCATGTTATAACTAATGTATCACAATTCATACTTCGTTTTGTGTAATATTATAAAACATCTATTAAAAGTGAAATATAGTCAAGCAAAAATGTATATTGATGGATTGCTGCTTTTTATTTTTAAAAGTATAACTGATTTCATCCAGTTATAATAAATTAGAAAAAGTCTTTTTCAAATTTTTAAGTTTTGACCACTAACTAATTGTTTCGATGTCATTTCTTTTTTATTTTAACAACCGTACAATGTCTGCCCCACCTGTAGCAGTACTTGGTGATAAATTTTGGGTCTTTGGTTTGTACAGGGCAAATACTATTTATCTAGCTTTTCAGTGTTTATACCCTTCATTTTGCTAGACAGCCAACTATCAACATAAAATGGAATGAGATGGTGAAGGATGATTCTAGCTGTTAAAACATCCTGAGATCTCCTATCTTCACTAAAACTTCATTTCCCATATGGAATTCACACACCTCTCTGGCTTTGTCCCACTTTTGTATCTCAGTATACCTTCCTTTTGTTCGGAGAAAATGGCCTTGGATAAACTCTGAAGACTAAGAAGCTTTGCTTATACCTTCAGTCCTTATTTTCTTCATAGATTGATTTGTTTCTGGAGGTTATTCTTTATTTCATAGTTTGCAGGATGTTTTTATTTTTACCTCAAGAGGAGCTTATACATACATGAAAGATGGGTAATGCCATCAGAAAAAATATGTCCTCTTAGAAAAGTTATGCTTCCTTGGAAATTGGTTATAGAGATACCTACTCCTTTTGAGTGGTTACTTTATTTAAAAGTTTGTTCATTGAACTTTTGCTTATGGCATTGGTTTATATTTTGAAAGGCCAGCATCAGAAGCTGAGCGGCTAATTATTCATTTGCTTCATGAATCTTACTTTTCTACTGTTTGGATTAGACAAAAAATATCTTTTTATGCTGGTTTCCATTGGCTGACTTCACCAAGGAGTTAACTATATCTAAAGGCAGTCCTCTTGGTTCTTTTGCTAGAGTCACAGAAAAAAAAAAGATAATCTTCTTGGTTACTGTTACCTGTTAGTAGTGCTCATCCATTTTGTTACATTTGCATTGACAAGCAGTGTATTCTTTGGGATAAAGGAAGGATTTTATAAACTCTGGAGTTAGCAATGGTTTTCAGAAGTGGTCGAATCTACCAGGAAAATGTGATGACTGAAGGAAGACCTGTGGTTATTGATCATCTTTTCTGGATCAGTACCTACTGGTTGTCAGACCTGTAAACTGCACATACTTTTTGGTTCTAGGACATTGTCTGACACTGGGTTCTAGAAAAGGCTCTCTTTTGTTTTCTAAAATTTCCTGGCTTGGATGATTAGTCTTCCAATATAATAGACACAAATGTGTGGTCTAGTGCTAACAAAAAGTAAGAGATACCTTAGCTGATTAAAGTTTACTAGTATTCTTTTTTCTTCTACACAATTATAGATGTTGATATCTCATATTTTCTTAGTAAATATCTATGTTAACTTTTCACAAGTTTTTTGAATTTGAAAATAACTATTATATTTTTGGCTGATTCTTTTTATTTTTCTAATATAGATTGAAAGAAAACTTGTTCTTCTCAGTGTTTTAAAGGAACCAGTAAGCCGTTCTATATTTGATTATGCTTTGAGGTCTAAAGATATTACTAGCTTGTTCAGACATCTTCACATGCGTCAGAAGAAACGAAATGGGTCTCTTCCTGACTGCCCTCCACCAGAGGATCCTGCCATAGCACAGCTTCTGAAGAAACTGCTCTCACAGGTTGTATCACCCTTTTGAAGTCTTACATTTCAATGCAAATTTCATGAAAATATTGAAGCATCCATTTAGCTTTTAAAAATGTTTTTGATTGATTAGATTATATTAAAAAATGAGTAAGTAAATCTGGCAAACATTTTATGCATTTGCTTTGATTCCTAAACAAAGATAATAGGATGATGATAAGGTATCAAGTTGAGCTAAATAAGGAATCATGGGAGACCTGTTAAGTTTCTTTTGTGATTACTGGCTAAATAAATGAGGGAAAGAGAGTAGAAAAAAACCTTAGATTTAATTAGTATTCTTGATTCAGTTCTGTTTTACCAAAAGATGTAATGAAATTTAGCTGGAAGAAACATTGCAAAACACAGATGCAATATAGAAAAATCCTGGTTCATTTCAATTCAAATTTGTAATTAATACTTGTAAATAACTGAATAACTTGTATTTATAATACATCTTAGGTTTAACAGGCCAGCAGTTTACTGGTATATCTTAAAAGCCTATGAATTTGAATCAATTAACAAAATCTTATTAGAACTAGGAAGTAATCTTATTACACTTGGCATTGGTAAGGCCTCTGTAGAAATATGAAGTCTGTTCATGACAAAAAGGCCAAAAGCAATTGTACCAAAAGCCAGAATTGACAAAGAGATCTAATTAAACTAAAGAGCTTCTGCACAGGAAAAGAAACCATCATCAGAGTGAACAGGCACCCTATAGTGTGGGTGAAAATTTTTGCAATCTACCAATCTGACAAAGATTTAATATCTAGAATTTTTGAGGAACTTGAATATATTTACAAGAAAGAAACAACCCTATCAATATGAAAAAAAGCCAAACATCACCGATGACCAGAGAAATGCAAATCAAAACCACAGTGAGATACCATCTCACACCAGTCAGAATGGCAATCACTGAAAAGTCAGGGAATGGGCCAGGCACAGTGGCTGAGGCCTATAATCCTAGCACTTTGGGAGGCCGAGGTGGGTAGATCACCAGAAGTCAGGAGTTCGAGACCAAACTGGCCAACACGGTGAAACCCTGTCTCTACTAAAAGTCAAAAATATTAGCCAGATGTGATGGCGTGCGCCTGTAATCCCAGCTGCTTGGGATGCTGAGGCAGGAGAATTGCTTGAACTCGGGAGGTGGAAGTTGCAGTGAGCTGAGATTGCATCACTGTACTCCAGCCTGGGAGACTCCCCGCTGCCCCTGCCAAAAAAAAAGTAAGGAAACAGTAGATGCTGGGTAGTCTGTGGAGAAATAGGAACACTTTTACACTGTTGGTGGGAATGTAAATTAGTTCAGCTATTATAGAAGAGAGTATAGCGATTCCTCAAGGATCTAAAACCAGAAATAGCATTTGACCCATTAGTCCCATTACTAGGTATATACCCAAAGGGATATAAATCATTCTACTATAAAGACACATGCACACATAAGTTTATTGCAGCAAATGTAAAGCAAAACATGGAACCAAACCAAATGCCCATCAGTGATAGACTGGACAAAGAAAATGTGGTATATACACCATGGAATACTATGCAGTCATAAAGAGGATTGAGATCATGTCCTTTGCTGGGACATGGATGAAACTAGAAGCCATCATCCTCAGCAAAATAACATGGGAACAGAAAACCAAACACTGCATGTTCTCACTCATAAGTGGGAGTTAAACACTGAAAGCAGATGGACACAGAGGGGAACAGCACTGGGGCCTGTTGGGGGATGGGGGTTGAGGGAAGAGAACTTAGAGGAGGCGTCAGTATGTACAGTAAACCACCATGGATCACATATGCCAGTGTAACCTGCATGTTCTGTACATATATCTCGTTTTGTTTTTTAAAGAAAAAACAAATTTAAAAAAGAAGTCTAGGCCAGACACGTTGCCTCCTGCCTGTAACCCACCATTTTGGGAAGCTGAGAAAAAAAGAAATATTAAATCTAAATTTGCATCTTGTTTTATGAGGGATATGTGGAACTTAAGGAAGTCAAAATAGGAACAAAAATTGTTAAAAATAAAGAATACAGTTGCTGAATATATGCTTCATGAGCCATAATGCTACTAAAGGACAACCTTAATGCCTTTTTAATTCCATAGAATATGTTTGTAAAGAGAATGCTTGTCAGTCATCTCTTTTTTAACAAGAAAAGAAGACTTGAAAATACATTCAGTTGCAGAGAGAGAATTTTATTAGTTTTGCAATGTAAAACCTTTCATGTATTGTACTTGTCACTGAATATCTAGTGCTGTTTGATACCCAGACGTTGGTTTGGGTGATTGAAAATGCAGTAGGTTCCTGTGAGAGGCTGATCAATAACTATTGGTTCTTTTAGATCTAGATTTGACTGGAGGCTGGGAATGTCTCTGAATGTCTCTTCTAGGACAGTGGTTCTATTTCCTACATTTTAAAGACTTAACTTGATATGACTTGAATTTCTGAGCAGCTTTTTCTTTGGGTTTTCTTTTAACCTTGGCTTGTACATTAGATACGTTTTATATTTTAGAAAGCAATTCGTAGAAAAATCTGAATCACATTTTTCTGTTGTTTCTCCTGAATAAGTAATCCTTATCAAAGAGATTTCAATGTGAAATAAAAACCATCCCAATCTAAATGTTTCTTCAGGCTTGGCCATTGTGACTCAGTATTTCTCTCTCTTCTGTCTATCCTGTATATTAATTAAAAAAACCTTCATCCTGAAATTTTCTCTTCCTTATATGTCATTAGTTACCACATGGAGCCACCGTAGCTCCTCATCTCTTCTTTTTACCTTGCTAGGGTGTAGGTTTTGACAATGCCATGGGTAAAAGAAGGGAGTGGGAAGGAACCATTTCCATAGCTTTTCCACTTCCTGCTTCCTACTGTTCTAACCCTTTGTATTACTGCTGCTCCCTCAATGCCAGCCCCCATTACTGGGTGCGATGATAAAAATCGCTAAAACTCACTGACCTGTATTCCTCTGAAATGTCAGTGCTTGGTATATTTGTTGGTTTGCTGGTGATCTCCTCATTTGTCTGAGTGGATAAAGAGGAACAATCCCCCATTTTATATTATTTCTGGTGATAATGGCTTTAGGAGACTACTAAAGGTTAGGGTATGATCCTCTGTTCAAGGGATAAGCACAGCTAGTAGAAGGGAGAGCAGGCCAGAATCTCCGGGGTTCTTACAAGAAATAATAGCAGAACACCACCAGCCTCCGGTTTTTTGAAAGCCAACAATGCCTTTACCACTGTAGTTGTCACCATATTTCCATATTTTTGACTATTCTTAAAACAGGTTTGAACAACAGATGTTATTTCTGTTTTATAGATAAGGAAATGGAGACGGAAGGTAGTTTACTTGCTCATGTTCACATAGTGCAGTAAGTTTCAAAGTTGGCATTTGAATCTAAACCTGTCTGATTCCAGAGCCTACTCTCTTAGACTATGTTGTGTTGCCTCTAAAGTAAAATAAACAAACGACGGAGGCTGGGTACGGTGGCTCACACTTGTATCTCAGCATTTTGGGAGGCTAAGGCAGGTGGATCACAAGGTCAGGGGTATAAGAGCAGCCTAACCAACATGGTGAAACCTCGTCTATACTGAAAATACAAAAGTTAGCTGGGTGTGGTGGCATGCGCCTGTCATCCCAGCTACTCAGGAGACTGAGGCAGGAGAATCGCTTGAACCTGGGAGGTGGAGGTTACAGTGAGCTGAGATCACACCACTGCACTCCAGCCTGGGTGGCAGAGTGAGACGCTGTCTCACAAAAAAGCACAGAGAGCTAAGACTCAGAAGCTTGCTTGGGTTTTATGTAGACTCAGGAAGAAGCCCATGTGCAGTTTATCTTCTCCAGCCTCCTTAAAAGCCTTTTCTCTACCTTCACGTCTTTTTTGTCCCTGTGCTACCTGAGTTTCTTAGGATTACTAGCAGAGATGTGGATCCAGGGGAGGCTTTGGAGATAGGAATTGAGTCCTTGTTTCTAATGTCAGAGTTACAGAGTGAAGAGGCATATTTTTAGCTTCTGCAAGCAGGCAATATGAACACTCCTACTGAATTATTTTTGGCTTAAAGTTCTTCAGTGCTCTTCTGTCCAGGACTGTACTTGAGACACATCATGGATAATAGGCCTTTCTAGACTACCTAGCATTGTTTCTGTGGGAAAATATATATTTGGTAATGTTCCAAAACATTTGGTAGTGTTCCAAAAGTGTATGTTAAGTCTACAACATTACCCATATGGAAGTTGGAATCTGTACTCCAGATTTTCAATAGAACTTACCACCAGGAGATGACTCATAGAAGGGCTGTTTTCATTAGATCCCATCTACAAGGCCTTCCTGTTTTATTTATATCAATTTAATCAGGTGCTAATAAATAATACACAATGATTTCATTCCTTTAAAACACGAGATACATTTTTAGTGATTTTTAATGTTTTTTGACAGTAGTATAAATACCAGTTTAAAACTGAAAAGTTATAAGAAGATATATAATGCAATGTAAGTTTTTGTCTAATCCCTCACCTCTAGGCATGCAGTTTCTTCTTCTGTTGATTGTGACTTTTATGTTGGGTGTTGAATTGCTTTGCAGTGTCGGACTTGTTCTGCTGTACAGTTCCTTGGGATCAGTTTCATCCTTTTAAGGTTTGCTTTTAAGCCTTGTTAGGATAGGCTTAGGATAGGTCCAGAGCAACCCTTAATTGGCCAATTTAGCTCCCCTACTAAGGACTTCTCAGAACATGATGCTTTGTATATGTTACGAGACCTTTCATTGTTCCCAGGCTTGTGTTATTTCTGTGGCCTCAGGTAGTTTCCTTATGCATACATAGTTTAATATTTAGCCAAAGACTTCAGGAAACCCTTCCATAGCCCTCTGAAGCTCTTATTCTGTGCCGATCCCTCTTCTTCATTGCTCTGCCCCAGTTACCCTTTCTAGCTTTCTTGAACTCTGATGTTCTTGAACTCAGCTGTGTATTACTGTATGTTCCTTCTGCCATGGCGTGGCAACTCTCTCTAGACAGTACTGCTGGGAGAATCATACGACTCATTTTTAAACAGTTTAGGCATTGCAGCCCTGTCTGCCTGTTTTCTCAAGCCTGAAAAATGTGTGTGTGTGTCTTTGTGTGTTGTACAGTTTAAAGTGGAAGGGTAATGCTAGTTTGGTCCCTGTTATTTCATCATGGTCAGAAGCTGAAGTTTGTGGATATGTTTATGGACTTAGGCTAGCACTGCACTTTCTTGTTTACCATAACTTAGGCTTGATTTATGGTAGGAAAAAAACATCTCCCAGCTTTTTTTTTTTTCCCAAGATTTTCTTGGCTATCCTTAGTTCTTAACATTTTCTTGCACATTTTCCATGTGATTTTTTTCAAGTCAGCTTGTCACTTTATATAATAAAAATTTGTTGATGTATTGATTGAGATTACATTGAACCTATAGAAGTCAGCTTGTCGCTTTTGATTCTTTTAAATGCTATTACAATTGGCATATTAAAACATTATTTTGTTTGTAGTTGGTATATGGAAAAATTTTTATATTTCCTTGTATCCAGCAACCTCATAAAACTTATTAATTATAATTGCTTGTACATTTTCATTTGAATTTGTACATTCACAATTGTATGACGCTTGAAGAGTGACCAATTTATTTGTTTTTTTCCAATCTGAATACCTTTGTCTTCCTTGCCTTATTTAAATGACTAGGATATTTATATAGTATTAAAGAGATTTAATGTGAGTGGGCATCCTTGTTTCTCATATCAGGGAAAACGCTCAACATTATACCATTCAATTAGATTTTTGCTATTAGTTTTTTTGTACAATCTTTTGAACAGAATAAGGAAATCCTCTTCTCTTTCTGGCTTGTTAAGATTATTATTAGAAGAATGTTAAATTTTATCAAATGTTTTTTATCTATTCAGAGTATTTTATGGTTTTTTTAATTCTGTTATGTGTTGAAATATGTTGATTTTTTTTAACTTTATTCCCTGGATATTTAAAATAAACACAACTTTTTTATATTGTATCTATATAGAAATGTAGCTTTAAAAATAAATAAAATATAAATGTATAAAAATGTTTTTATGTATACTAGATTTGGTTTGTTACTACTTTAGTGGTATTTTTACATTTGAGTTGATGAACAACCTTGTCCTGTAGTTTTCCTTTCTTGTAATGTCCTTGTCAATTTGTTGGGTTTTTTTGATGGTACAGTACTAACATTTTTTTTATTGAGATACAATTCACTAACATAAAATTCACTCTTTTAAAGTGTACAACTCACTGGTTTTCAGTAAGTTCACAAAGTTATGCAGCTGTCACCAGTGTTAAATTCCACATTCTTATCACCCTCAAAAGAAACTCTGTATCCATTAGTAGTCATTCTCTTTCCCTTAGCCCCTGGCAATCACTAATCTACTTTATGTTTCCATAGATTTGCTTAATCTGGACATTGCATATTAATGGAATCATGCAGTATGTGGCCTTCTCTTTCAGGCTTCTTTCACTGATCTTAATGTTTTTAAGGTCCCTTTATGTTGTAGCATATATTGTACTTCATTCCTGTTTATGGCCCTTACTGTGGCCCTCTCTTTTGTGGACTAAAACATAGACTAACAAAAAGAGAGCCCTTACTTCAGCTGTAGGAGCAGACATGAAAATAAACTAAGTATTGCAAGTGAACACTGGGATTTAGTCAACAATATGTCTATTATTGTTGTACTTTAATGCAATTTTATTTCATGTTTTTTAGCTTTGTGCCGTCCTAGGGTTGGTTTTATCATAGCCTGCCTGAGAATTGTGACTATGACTCTTAACTCTAGTGGGATTCTAGATTGAGGCCTCAGGGGAACTGACATTTTATTAAATGAATGTTTTTTATTCTTTTGGCATGATAAAAATGTACTAGAGGATTCTGTAAATGATTGGAATGAAAGAGATGTAGAACTGGCACTTTATCAGAATATTTAAGTTGCCAATGAATTAATTATTTAGATCGATTACTTTTTGTCAGTTTCAAGTTCGATAAGTATTTTAGGTGGATTAACATTTAAATTTCACTATAATCTGATAAGATGCATGGTAGTAATTGTATCTTTATAGATAAATAGAGATACACAGATATAGTAAGTAGTAATTAGGGCTGGAATTCGAACCTAGGCAGTCTGACTCCAGCCATTATCCTAGAATGCTACTGGGTTTGTTAGATTTGCAGTTCAGGCAGCATTCCAATCAGTTCCTGAGATGAATAGTATATTTTATATATCATAGAATGCCTTCACATACTCATTCAGTATAAATTTCTCAATACAACTAGGAGCAAAGTTGAATTAGGCACACTTTATTTTGTTTAATATTGTACATTCAGAGTTTTTGTTTAGATAATAAATATTTATTCTACAGTTGTGTTTTAAAAATTACTAAGTATCACACATTGTTTTAAGTTCTTTGGAAATTCCAAAGATGAGGTATATTTGAATACTGTCCTTTAGGAAGGAAGTTAAGATATAAATCATGATACAAATTACAGAGTGCCCTAATGGAGTGTTTGGGTGATCTTAGTAGTGACATGTCATTCTGTATTGTTACTTTATTTTTCACTTGCACTTGGTTGATTCACCCATCTGACTCTTTCAGTTTTAAATCGGGTGATTTGTCCCACTAGTTGTTAGTCATTCTGCAGCCTGTTTTTATTACTTGTGAGAATATACTAAAACATACGGTTTTATTTGGTTTTAGGGAATGACAGAGGAAGAGGAAGACAAGCTTCTGGCACTGAAAGACTTCATGATGAAATCTAATAAAGCAAAGGCGAATATAGTGGATCAGAGCCATCTTCATGATAGTAGTCAGAAAGGTGTAATTGACTTGGCAGCTTTAGGCATAACTGGGAGACAAGTTGATCTCATTAAAACCAAACAAGAACCAGATGACAAACGTGGTTAGTATGCTTGTCTGTGTGTGTGTGTGTGTGTGTGTGTGTGTGTGTGTGTGGCTTGTTGTTACATGTTATTTCATAAGACTGGTTTTTAGCTAATTAATAATGTAAAAAGAAGCCCCACTTCACAGATAAAGAACTTTCAAATACAGTGACTCCATTACTTAGCAGGCAGATTTTGGGAAGGAAAAGTGGGGAAGTGAACTAACAGTTATGAGATTAAGTAACTTGCAGAATCACAGCTCTGTATGTGACAAACCAAGGTCTGATTCTAAAGTTCTACTTTTACAGTAAAATCACGTTGTCACCGTGAGGCGTATGATTGAAGATGAAATTCTATTTTTTTTTTTTTTTTCCTGAGATGGAGTTTCGCTCTTGTTGCCCTGGCTGGAATGCAATGGCGCGATCTCGGCTCACGACAACCTTTGCCTCCTGAGTTCAAGTGATTGTCCTGCCTCAGCTTCCCGAGTAGCTAGGCTGATTTTGTATTTTTTAATAGAAACGGGGTTTCTTCATGTTGGTCAGGCTGGTCTTGAACTCCTGACCTCAGGTGATCTGCCCGCTTCAGCTTCCCAAAGTGCTGGGATTACAGGCATGAGCCACTTTGCAAGGCTGAAATTCTGTTTTTTAATCCTTTAACCAGGAACAGTAGTCTATGTAAAATGGTATCAAGTTTTCTAGTTTCTTATTAGTAGGTAATGCCCAATGAATTAAAAAAAAAAAAAAACAAAAAAACAGGTTTGCTGTTAACAATGAAATACAAAAGAGTAGAGACCGGATAAGACTTAATCATTTGCAGTCTTCAGGTTTGAAACTGTGAGCTCTTGTGACATGGATTGTATGAAGTTTTCTAAGATCTTGTACGTACCCTTTTTGCGTATTTATATACTGCCAATTAAATGCCTTTACATTTTCCTCTTCTAGCATTAGATTTTAAAGGCAGCTAATGAATTATATTTAAAATAAACTTCTAATTGCCAAATTTGAGAAAAAGTATTTGTGACTTAAATTTTAATGGTTTATATCTATAATACATAAGTATATAAATTAATAAGAGAAAGCAAGCCAGAAGGAAAAATGAAGTATAGGAACAGGTAACTGATAGAATGGAATGCACATATATGAAAGGTAAATTTTATAAATGCAAATTAAAACTAATGTTATATTCTTAATATTCGCTACTTTAGATGTAGTAGTTACTTGAAATTGAGCTGGCCTTGGGAAACTAGGAAGTAATTAGGTCTTATTATTAACACCATTGGAAGCACACCTGTTCCATCTGCCCTAGAGATGAAGTGAGAGTTAATGAGTTGATACATGAATATGAATAAATTAGAAATCTTAAGGAACAAATAGGATATGAAATGTATTACTGTTCCCACCCCCTCTCCTGTTCCCTCCAAAGGCAATAAAAGCACATAATGTTCGAAAGGCTACCTTCAGACTAACTATTCTGAATATTTTCATAGCTAGAAAACATGTAAAACAAGACTCAAATGTAAATGAAGAATGGAAAAGCATGTTTGGGTCACTGGAACCACCAAACATGCCACAGGCCCTACCTAAAGGGAGTGACCAGGAGGCGATTCAGACTGGGAAGCCTCCTCGTTCTGAGTCTTCTGCTGGCATTTGTGTCCCTTTGTCAACTTCTCCACAGGTACTGTCACCCATCAATAGTCCTCCTAATGTCTTTGAACCCTGTTTTGCTAATTTGGATGTTTAAAGGCTGTGTACTATAGTGGAAAGTCAGTATGGTGACTTGTCTTTTAGGGAGGACATATTTCTTTCTTAGACAGGTTTATCTTTAATTTTTTAGTGAGAAGGAAATCTAGTTATTGAAAGTACTAGAAAGGTCTCATTTTAGAGTACTTGCCAATAAAGTGATCTGAAATTGTGGGTTGAAGACATTATTATGAACTGTGATTATAATTAGGCTGCAGTGAACATTTTAGATCTTTTTTATTCCTCCCCCAGTATAACATAGCCATATTTATAAAATAGCAAAAAATACTTCTGGGAAGAAGTCCCAAGTTTCCTATGTGTGATAAATGTCATGATGCTTTTCATGTATAGACCATTCCTGACTTAATGATGGTTAGACTTTATATATATAGGATTTTTTGACTTTATATGGTGTAATAGTGATGTGCATTCAGTAGAAACTGTACTTCTGGTACCCATATAGCCATCCCATTTTTTGTATTCAGTACAAATTTCAGTAAGTTATATGAGATATTCACACTTTATTATAAAATAGGCCTGGTGTTAGATAATTTGCCCAACTGTTGGCTAATGTAAGGGTTCTGAGCATGTTTCAGCTAGGCAAGGCTAAAGTGTGATGTTCAGTAGTTAGGTGTTTTAAATATATTTTCGACTTAATGACATTTTCAACTTATGATGGGCTTATTGGGATGTAATGCCATTGTAAATCCAGGAGCATCTATATTTGAAATAAGTTTGTAATTGAAGGCAGCTCTTTCCTAGCCAGCCGTACCTTAAATAAAAAATATTAATTGAGGGTCGGGCGCGGTGGCTCAAGCCTGTAATCCCAGCACTGGGCGGCCGAGGCGGGTGGATCACGAGGTCAACAGATCGAGACCATCCTGGTCAACATGGTGAAACCCCGTCTCTACTAAAAATACAAAAAAATTAGCTGGGCATGGTGGCACATGCCTATAATCCCAGCTACTCAGGAGGCTGAGACAAGGGAATTGCCTGAACCCAGGAGGTGGAGGTTGTGGTGAGCCGAGATCGCGCCATTGCACTCCAGCCTGGGTAACAAGAGCGAAACTCCATCTCAAAAAAAAAAAAAACAACAATTAATTGAACCAGATTAATGAAATTGAAATTTCATTTCTTCTTTTCACTTGAATTAATGAGAATTTTTGTTAATGTTATTATTGTGTAGTCAGTTTATATATATATAGATGTAAAGGTTTGGAAGCCTAGCATTCGTCATTAAACTTCATGTTAACTTAGTTTTTTATTGATAAAATGTAAATGTATTTAAATGGATTTTAAAATTGGTACATTCATGAGGACAAAAAGCTGTTATAATGCATAAAAACATGAGTACACTTTTATCTTCAAAGACACTTTTCTTATGACATAAACGCTTAGAATTCTATTTGTTTTGTAGGTTCCAGAAGTAACAACTGTCCAAAATAAGAAACCAGTAATACCAGTTTTAAGTAGTACAATCTTACCATCCACCTATCAGATTCGGATTACAACTTGTAAAACTGAACTTCAGCAACTTATTCAACAGAAGCGGGAGCAGTGCAATGCTGAGAGAATAGCCAAGCAGATGATGGAAAATGCTGAATGGGAGAGTAAACCACCACCACCAGGTAAAAGTTCCATTGATCAAGGTAGTTGTAGTCTAGGCTAGGTGCTTACAGCTGGAATCTAATGGAGGAAATGAATACTTAACTGCCAGACAAAAGACATGAGAACAAAAAATGTTATTTGAGAAACCCAGAGGAAAAAGCAGTTAGTAAGAAATCTTGTTATTATTTGTGGAGTTTGGATCTTTTTAGCTGTGGAGGCAACTGGCAAAGTCACATTTAGGCCAATCACTTAATAATTTAGCCTATCTGTGTTTCATTTTTTCTAATTATAGTATGAGGTTTTACCTGCTTAATGTCTTGCCACTTTCTCATTTGAATGTCTGGCTTTTTTGACACCAAATTTCTGCTTTTAATTTCTGGAGGGTTTAATTACTTTCATTAATATTATTTAAGAAAAAGTTAGAAAATTTAGAAAATGATGAGTATTTTTAAAAAGAAAACAGGCCCAGGGGTGGTGGCTCATGCCTGTAATCCCAGCACTTTGGGAGGCTGAGATGGGCAGATCACCTGAGGTCAGGAGTTCGAGACGAGCCTGGCTAACATGTTGAAACTCCATCTCTACTAAAAACACAAAAATTAACCAGGCGTCGTGACATATGCTTTTGATGCCAGCTATTGGGAGGCTGAGGCAGGAGAATTGCTTGAACCCGGGAGGTGGAGGTTGCAGTGACCCAAGATCATGCCACTACATTCCAGCCAGAGTGACAGAGCAAGACTCCATTTTAACAATAATAATAATAATAATAACAACAACAACAACAATAAAGTAAATAAATAAAAAGAAAACAGCATCACTTCTAGCCCTACCCCTTTAACGATGATCAACATTACAAATTTGAGGAAACACTCCTATATTCTGTTAAGGCTTAAAAGCAATTTAGAGATACTTCAAATGAAAATTTGACTCAGCTCTCTCAACAGACTTGCCTACTGTAATGTAGCAGAGCTAGACTTTGATACCAGATTTGTGGATGTAAAAATATTTTTGAGTTTCTGTCTACATTTTAATGATAAAAGTTGAAATTGAGAAGATGCATAGTGTGCTTATATATAGATATTTACAAATCATGTGAAATCCCATGGGCTACTAATATGGACTTGGGAAAATGCTGCAAAAGGTTAGTGATTTAAAGATTTGGAAGATACTGTTAAGTGGCAAGTAGCATCGTTAGTAGCATAAATTTTCTTTTGAAAATATTTTGGAATTTTTTAAATGTTTAAAATGGTTTTGTGATATGAATCAATATTATATACTAGCTCTACTTTAAAAACAGTACAAAGTTAGTTGGGCACAGTAGCTCATTCTTGTAATCCCAGCACTTTGGGAGGCTGAGGCAGGCAGATCACGAGGTCAAGAGATTGAGACCATCCTGGCCCACATGGTGAAATCCTGTCTCTACTAAAAATACAAAAATTAGCAGGATATGGTGGTGCAGTACCGTTAGTCCTAGATACTTGGGAGGCTGAGGCAGGAGGATCGCTTGAACCGTGGAGTCGGAGGTTGCAGTGAGCCAAGATCGTGCCACTGCACTCTAGCCTGGCCACAGAGTGAGACTCCATCTCAAAAAAAAAACCAGTAAAAAATTGACCACAAACTGTCTACTGTATTTTATGATAGTCTGTCTTTATAAGTGGCATATTATACTTAGTAGAGTAATGCATTTTATTTAGTAAATCACAGAAAAGATGTCAAATTTTGTAGCTTAAGAAATGTGCAGTGACTGTTAGACTCTTGATTTTTTTCTTTCTACAGTTTAGTAGTTGTGTGAAATTGATTTTTATAGAGGGAAATGTTCAGCCTAGCCTGGTAGATCATTAGACTTCATGACAAAGTGTTTTTGATCACTTTCAAATCCAGCATATTCTTAAAAATCACATTTAGCTCCTGTTCTCACACATATGAGCCAGAGATCTAAGGAGAAACATGTTTTGTTTTGTTTTTTTTTCTTAAACTCAGTTTGGCAGTGGTTTTAGTTCATTTTTGTTTCTTGAAAAGAAATCATTTCTAAAATGACACTGTCACCGCTTCAGTTGGCACAGTGCTAATTCCCAGTACAGTATGCTGTTTAGCATAGCTTTCTGTTTTATTTTAAAATCATCTGGTATTAAATATAATGAACTGTTAATACAGAAGAAGCTATCAAACATTGAGGACAGTACCTATGTTAGGTGCTGTGAATGAATCATGAATGGATAAGACATAGTTTCTGTGACCCCAGGGAATGTATAATTCATTATAGAGGAAATTAATCTTACTCAAAAAGAATATACATAAGAAAACATAGGTTATAGATGTCAAAATACTGGAACGTCCATGAACGTTCTGAGGCTGTAATTTATAATACCATTTATACTAATGTGTTTACACCATACAATAAATGATTTCAGGTAAGAAGAGAATCAACCAAAATTTAGGTATTTGCTGTAAGCTAGGGATATTATTAGACTCTTGTATATATCTCATTTGTCCAGATAGTCTCCTTTGGGTTAAGTAATAATGACCCTCATTTTATGTTTAGGAAATTAAAGGTCAGTTTAAATAAGTAGCTCAAGGTCTCACTTTTATGTATGGTGGAACTGGGCCTTCTAGTGTCCAGTTTCTCTAGACTAGGGTAATCATTACCCCATGCTGCTGAGTCAGTAGTCAGATTTCAGAGGTAGCAGGTACCCCTGTGTCTTTATTTTCAGGTAACTGCTTTGTCTTCGCAGATACTGGAGAATGGCCCAAGGTGCTGCCTTTCTGAAGTTATTAAAGCAACACTTAATTGCTAAATTGATGTCTCAAATAATATCTGTCATGGTCCAGTAGACCACTCTTTATTGGCTAACTATTGGAACTTTTAAATATTTTAGTTCTTAATGCTTGTTTTCAAGCTGGTTGTTGGTTATTGTAACTGGGGGTGATAGGGAGATTGTATTTGTGAACTATAGTTTATGATACTTGCTTTGCTTTTCCTTAGGATGGCGTCCTAAAGGACTATTAGTTGCCCATCTGCATGAGCATAAATCTGCTGTGAATCGAATTAGAGTCTCTGATGAACACTCACTTTTTGCAACATGTTCAAATGATGGCACAGTGAAAATTTGGAACAGTCAAAAGATGGAGGGGAAGACCACCACTACCAGGTACCATATGCTCAGGAATGGATCAGTTCATTAATTCAAATTAACAAATGTTTATTGAGTGCTTACTCTATAAAAACCACTGTTTTATGTACCAGGCATACAGCAATGATAAATAGACAAAAATCTCTCTTCCGTGGAGCTTACCTTCTAGTGGAAAGTGAGAGACAATGAAAGTATAAGTAAAACATCTAATGCGTTAGATGGTTTAAAAAAATTGTGGTAAAACATATAGCAGGAAAGAGAGGAAATTCAGTACAGGTCGGGTAGCGTAGAATTTTAAATGAATTAGCCAGAGAATGCTTCATAGAGAAAACGACATTTGAGGAAGGACTTGAAAAAAAGTGAGTGAAAGCCTTGTGGAAGAACATTCCAGGCAGAGGAAACAGGCATTTCCAAGGCCCTGAGGAAGAAATGTGTTTGGCATGGTTGAGGACCAGTAGAAAGTTCTTTGTGACTGGAGCAGAGGGAGCAAGATGGAGGAGTAAGAGGGGCCAATTAGATAGGGCGTGGTAGGCTGTTGTAAAGGACTTTCACTTTGACTTGGAGTGAGGTGGGGAGGCTTTGAAGAGTTCTAAGTAGAGGAGAGATATGATCTGAGTTAGTTGTCACAGAATTACTCTGGCTGTTATGTTGAGAATAGACTGAAGAGGAGCAGGGCAGATGCAGTTAGGAGACTGTGAAATAATCAGACAAGAAGTGGTGGCTTGGTAGTGGGGGAAAAAGTACTTTTCTCATGAGAAAAGTAAAAAAATGATGGAATGGCTAACTGTATAAGGAAAACAAATAGTGTCCCATTACCCCACTGCTGTGGACAAGGAGATAATTTATGATTTTAAATTCCTAAGACTTTAAATATGAATGATGTGATTTTGATGAATGTGATTATGAGAAGTATTTTAGACTTCTACAACTTTTTAAGTATGTCCCTATCTGATTTGCAGTTTGTCCTCCTTACTATTTCTCTCTTTCTCTCTCTATTAGTTCTACCATATTCTTGTTCTTTGCCTAGTTTGGTCTGGAAAGAAAGCTACTAGAAGTCAGAATTGAATCTCATCTATGTAAAAAGATGTGGGGAATCACTGGTTCTTTGCTTGTAATAAGTTCTTTGACCACAAAATCATAAAACAGCAAAATATCTTTGATAACTAAAATAATTTAAAGTTTACTTACCAGCCTGATAAGATTTTGCGCTGATTGGCTCTGTATTTTTACACTATGCTTAATTATTGTGTTTTTCCTCATTCTCTCGTGGTGTTATATTTGGTCAGAACATAATTTTAAAAAGAAGTAAGAATCCTTGGTCCATGTAGCAATTTTTTTGGTCAACATTTTACTGTAAAATTTTCAAATCTATAAGCAAAGTTGAAAATGTTTCACAGTGAACAATCCATGTACTTGGCACCTATAATCCCAGCACTTTGGGAGGCCGAGGTGGGTGGATCACGAGGTCAGGAGATTGAGACCATCCTGGTCAACATGGTGAAACCCCGTCTCTACTAAAAATACAAAAAAAATTAGCTGGGCATGGTGGCGCGTGCCTGTAGTCCCAGCTACTCAGGAGGCTGAGGCAGGAGAATTGCCTGAACCCAGGAGGCGGAGGTTGCAGTGAGCCGAGATCGCACCATTGCACTCCAGCCTGGGTAACAAGAGTGAAACTCCATCTCAAAAAAAAAAAAAAAAAAGATTCTATACTTAATGATTTTATACTTAAGATTCTATAATTAATGATTTTACTATATTTGCTATGTTTTATAATTATTTATCCACCTCCCATCAATCTCTACTTTAAAATTTATTTTTATTTTTATTTTATTTTTTAGAGACAGGGTCTCACTCTGTTGCCCAGGCTAGAATGCCGTGGCCTAATCATAGCTCACTATAACCTTGAACTCCTGGGCTTCAAGTCGTCCTCTCGCCTCAGCCTCCCAGGTAGCTAGGACTACAGGTGTATGCCACCACACTCAGCTAATTTTAAAAATTGTTTTTATTTGAGAAATGAGTTCTCACCACATTGCCCAGGCTGATCTTGAACTCCTGACTTAAAGAAATCCTCCCCTCTCAAGTCTCCCAAAGTGTTGGGATATAAGTGTGAGCTACTGCCTGGCCCCATTTTTTTTTTTTTTTAATGATTTCAAAATAAAATGCAGACATTAGTACGTGCCCTCTAAAAACTTCAGTGTGCACATCATTAACAGGATTTTAATATTTTTAGCTCTTTTTCCTTCTTGATATAAAATTTGAATTCTATGAAGTACACAGATCTTACATGAACTGTTCCATGAGTTCTGACAAACACCTCTGCATCCTGAATCTTTCCCAAGATACGGAATTTGACCATCATACCAGGATGTTCCCTTCTATCCCTTTCTTTTAAATAAATCTCTGCTCCCTTCTTCCCTGCTACTACCATTCTGTTGATGTTTTTCCTCATCATTCTTAGCTTCTTTCTTCTTCTTTTTTTTTTTTTTAGAAACAGTTTCCCTCTGTCACCTAGGCTGGAGTACAGTGGTGCAGTCTTGACTCACTGCAACCTCCGCCTCCTGGGTTCAAATGATTCTCCTGTCTCAGCCTCTGGAGTAGCTGGGACTATAGGCTAATGCCACCACTCCTGGCTAATTTTTGTATTTTTAGCAGAGTGGTCATTGTTGGCCAGGTTGGTCTTGAACTCCTGACCTCAAGTGATCCTCCCACCTCAGCCTCCCAAAATGCTGGGATTATGGGCTTGAGCCGCCAAATGGAGCCCATTCTTAGCATTTTAAGTACCTCTTCTGATAATTGTTTTCCAAATAGTTCTTTGTTATCATTATCAGTTGGATTCATTGTCTCCTTGATTAGGATGATAACTTGCAAAAACCCTGCTTGTTAGTTCTCAAGTGATTTTTATTAAGGTCAAACCATCTGCTTTATTAAGGTCAAACCTGCTTTATTAAGGTCAAACCATCCCAGTGTCATGCTTCAGACAGTGGTATTTTGGTATCACATTTCAGATAATATCCCCCAAATTTTGGTAATTTAGCTGACTTTATAGAATTTGGGAAGTCTGTATGATTAGGAGATTGGATCGATCTCTGAATGCAGCTAGTGTTTCGCTTTGCTTTAACACCTGCTCTCTTGTTTGTGGGCTGACATGGGCCTTGGCTTGGGAAAGAGGGTAAGAGAATGTAATGTGTTGCCCTTATCACATGTCTTTATTAACTAGTGAGTGGAGAAAGAAGCAATTCTTCCTGCTAGAGCCAAGTGGGGAACAGCTGGTGGTAGGGAAAGAAGAGCAAAACAAATGTGTTTTCTTAGAAAATGTTACTAGTACATTCTGACTAAGAGGAGTTTCCCCCATGCATGATGATGGTCGATCATTCAGTTCTCAGTCTTGATTTTCTTACTGAATTATGATTGGTGATTTACACTACCTAGATCTTGACTCTGCCATTTTCTTTTTCCTTGAGTTAAATTTTCAGTTTGTCCTTTTGGGACTAGTTCTTGAAAAATTGCTGTTTTCTAAACTTTTGCACAGATTTTTCCACATCTTCCTTTATAGTATTCTAAATTATATTTTCTATGTTTTCTTCTCTTACCACCTTATTTCTGGCTCATTCAGCTTCTCAATTTTAGGGGAGATGGATGCATTTGGTTATTTGTTGAAATTGGGGTGTTAGTAAAATAAGTGGAGTTCTGTCACAGTGAAAACTTAATATGAATGGGTACAAAAGAAAACTGTCAGTGTTAGGGTTACACATTTTAGAGTCCCTGGTAGTATTGAAAGTCAGTTTTGGGGCTGGGCACGGTGGCTCATGCCTCTAATCCCAGCACTTGGGGAGGCCGAGGCAGGCGGATCACGAGGTCACAATATTGAGACCATCCTTGCCCCATCTCTACTAAACCCCATCTTTTTGAAACCCCATCGCTACCGAAAATACAGAAAAAGAAAAATTAGCTGGGCATGGTGGCACATGGTTATAGTCCCAGCTACTTTGGGAGGCTAAGGCAGGTTAATTGCTGGAACCCGGGAGGCAGAGGTTGCGGTGAGCCGAGATCGTGCCATTGTCCTCCAGCTTGGGTGACAAGAGTGAAACTCCGTCTCAAAAAAAAATAAATAAATAAATAAAATAAAATTTAAAAAAAAAGAGTCAAAGTTTTTGAGTGACTATGAAGTAAAGAGAATATGAAGGGCAACAAAGGCCTGATGTCTGAATCTTAAGAAATTGAATTTTTGGAACAGGAAGAGAGGGACAAGAAAAGGAAAGAAGAAACCATTTAAGTTAATATTACAAACTACAATGAAGGAGAAAACTTAGAAAGGAATATCTAGGCCTCTCTCAAATGAGACAAAAACCCTACTAGCATGAAAACCTCATAATGCCACTGGTGCACTTCCATACAAAGCCCTCTGGTGGAATGCAATTGATAACCTCTTCCCTGGAGGTTTTTCCCGCAGTATATGTATCATAAGCCTTTATGATGTACATATCCTAAGGAAGTAACTAAGAATAAACTCAGAGATTTAAAGACTGATCAGATTGCCTTTCTTATAATAGAAAACTAGGAGCAAACTAAAAGTACAGCAGCAGTTATCAGTGAAAGATATTGGTAACTGTGTTTTTGAAAATTAGGTTTAAGAAGAGCATATGGGTTTCTATTTTGGAATGGCAGAGTAAGGGCCTTCAAAAATCTGTTCCTCCATGAAGCAATGAGAATAGTGGTAAAGACTGTCAAAGTCAATTTTCTGAGAACTTTGGAAATCATCTGAAGCCTTGCAACAATCCTAAGTGGATTCAAGAAAATCACCTGACTTTCAATAAGAACAGTGAGCCATATGGTCTTTAACTTACTGTAATCTCATCCCCCTTTACCAGCTCTATGGTAGTCTGGAAAACAAACAGCCTCACAACTATGATAGCCATGAAAACTAGCCCCTTAGTAGCCAGTGGAGAGGTCATATGGCATTGGAACTCCCTGAAAGTCCCGTCTCCAGAGAATTGTCACTATTTGACCTCCGTGCCAGG